GCCATGATTCATTCAATACATCATAATTGGTCCTATAATACTGCCGGGAACGCTTCTAATTAACACCTTGCCCTTCAAATAAATGAAGTTCAACCTCACCGGGACCGTACAACGAGCGATAAAAACCCGGTGACGCAAAGTCCCACCATTCGGATGAGAATCACGGGGGCGCAAGTCCTAGAAACCCCGTTTAACCGTTAGGTTATGTTAGCCGCCCCCTCCCCCGACAACAAAAGCCCTGGGGCTTTAAATTAACGAAAAACTGCATCCCGTATTGGGGCGGCAACGGATGAGAAGGGTCCTTACCCGTTATTGGCAGCAGGGTTCACCAGGGTAGCACTTGGTTTAGCCATTCAATCAATCAATCAGGTGCCGTCTCCACAATGAAGGTTGGCTGCAATGGATCTCCAACAAGCCCTGTCTCTTGCCCTTGATGTACACTCACTCATACTGCTGTTCGTCCATCTCTTGATGTTATCCTCCCACTTGTAATGCTGTCTGTCTTTTGCACGCCTACCTTGAACCTTTCCCTCTAGAATGATCTTTACAATACTGTTATGTCTTTTAATGTGGCCAAAATATTTCACTTGTCTCTTTTTTATTTCACCTAGCAACTCTCTTTTCATTCCCAATTTCCTCAGTACCTCTGTATTTGATAGCTTTTGTTTCCATGAAATACGACCTAATCTTCTGTATATCCACATCTCCAAAGAATTGATACGATTTTCCAGTTGTTTGTTCATTGTCCATGTCTCTGTGTCATACAGTAAGGCTGAGAATACATAACATTTGACAATTCTCATTTTTAATGTATTGCTTATTTCTCTTGATGCCAGTAAATTGTGCATGTTGTTGAAAATGTTTTTGGCCATCCCTATTCTTTTCTTGACTTCTGTTTCACTTCTGCCGTCACATGTTATTACTTGTCCAAGATATAAGAAATTTTTAACTTGTTCCAATTTCACCCCGTTCACTGTGATATTCATTGTTAGCTGATTATTTTCTTTGCTAAATATCATGGTTTTTGTCTTTTTCAAATTTATATCTAATCCAAATTCTGCACTCATTCTGTTTACTTGCTCCACTAGGTCTTGCAACTCCTGCTCACTCTCTGCTAGCAACACTGTGTCGTCAGCATATCTCAGATTGTTTATTATTCTACCATTGATGTGCAGTCCTGGTATTTCTACAATTTCTTTAAAAATGGTTTCTGTACATAAGTTGAAAAGGCTAGGCGACAGCACACATCCTTGTCTTACTCCTCTCTTGATCTCTATCTGGGGGGGGGGGGGGGGGGGGGGGGGGAGCAGATGTTGTCATATCTTACTGTTGCTTCTTGCTCCCAGTATAAGTTTCTAATAAGTCTGATATCCTTTCCATCTAGTCCTATGTTTTGAAAAGCTGCAATTAGTTGTTCATGTTGCACTCTGTCGAAAGCTTTTTTGTAATCTATAAAACATGCATAAATATTTTTCTGAACTTCTATATATTTTCAGTCAGCATCTTTAGACAAATTATGGCCTCTCGAGTACCACTGTTTTTACGGAATCCAAATTGCTCTTCAGAAACTTCTTTCTCTATTTTATCTTGAATTCTTGCTTGTATTATCTTCAAGATTAACTTAGTTACGTGACTCATTAGGCTAATAGTTCTGTAATCTTCACAATCAACAGCTTTTGATTTCTTGGGTAATGTGATAAAAACAGATGTTTTCATGTCCCTGGGAATGTACCCATAGTTATAAATGTCATTGCATATTTCTGTGATAGTATCAATTCCAAAAGTAGATAATGATTTTAACATTTCTGCAGTTTTGTTGTCTGGACCTGCACTTTTCCCTGCTTCATGACTGTTTAATGGCTTTCTCTACTTCAGACTTTAATATGTTTTGCCTCTCTTGAATATTATGATTGGCGGTTTGTCACCTCTGTTGTCCCAAGACAGGTCTTCTGTGTATTCAGTCCATCTTTTTATTATATCTTTCTTATCAACAATAATTGTTCCATCCTTCCCCCTAATACAACCATTTCCTGTTAAATGTTTTTCCTTGTTTGTAAGTTTTCTTATATTTGCATGTATTCCCTTGGTTTTGTGTTTTATTTCAAGATCCTCTATTTCTTTGCATTTTAACTGAATCCATGTTTCCTTAGCAGTTCTACACATATTTCGTATTTCTTTGTCTATTAATGAATATTCTGGAGTGTTTTTTGCTTTCTTCCTTAGCCATTACGAATACCTTAATTATAATTTCTGAGGAGGTTGAACTGGATATCCGAGATTTGCCCCGTTTGAATGTCATCCAGAATGCAACTGTGGAATTTCTATGGGTTGCAGAGGCGTCTCAGAAGAAACACACTAAATGGACATGATGGCATCGAGGGTTCTGAAATCCCGTGCTTAAATTGTGAAAGACCTTTCTAGGCGAGTATTGCTAGTTACACGAGCCATCACCACGAGCTGTGAGTCTCATGCCTCGTGACAGCACAATATAAAACTATACTCTGGAAGGACGGAAAAGTGCCAACCAGCCAGGTGGTTAAACTGTCAGCAGCCTGGGAGGAAAATCAGACATACCTCGTTAGGCCTTTGGCGGAGTGTATGCCGGAATTTAGGAGGTATACTGGAAATTAGCCTGGGACTGTAAAAGTCAACAGATGTGTTTCTCTTATTTATGGACTTGCTTCATTCTGGGAGATAACGCAAGTGGTTATCCAAAAGCCGACATGCTACGGCTTTTTACACATTGCGCTTGTAGTATTAGGCCAACTCCTTTTCTAATAAATAGAGTAGGCCGTGTATGAGGCCTATATTTGTAAAGATCACTCAGCACTCGATGGCGGATGGGGTCATCATACCCATTTTACTGACCGGTCTTATCGAGTCAACGTACTCTACCCAGATTTCGCTTCTTTGCTGTAGTCTATGTAAGACGTCTGAATCTGTCATGGAAATCTCTACGTGCAGTAAAAGCGCAATCCCATATCAAATATATTATATACTTTAAGAAAAATTATTAAAAAAAGAACAACACTCAACTATTTCAGTCTCGAGCAACGCCTGGTATGTAAACCATTTCAGCCTTTGATTTTCACTTCAAAACCTAATGTTCTCACTTATTTTTATATTTGGTCAGAACATACAAAAGAAATCATACGTCATTAAGTGATGACTGCCACTTATGATGTAATTAAAAATCGATTTTTGCATGTTTTGTTTTTGTGTGTGTCACTTCACATATTTTCCATTAAACCATGTGTTAGGAAAAGTGTTACAGTCACAACAGTTTCAAAATGGTGAAAACCGAATAAGCCGTATCCGCGATATTAATACTAATGCAGACATAAATAAAAAGAACGAACACAGAACTATTATAGGTAATACAACCATGCAGAGAATTACACAAATTCATGAAAAAAGTATCTCAAAGCTAGCAATAGAACTAGTCACCACTGAACAACTCCTGTTGGGGGCCGAACGACCATTTCAGAGGGGTCGCCTAGGACCATCGGAAAACACATATTCACTAAAGTTATGAAGTAGCAACAAAAATAATTTTATGATTAGGAGTCACCAAGGCACTAGGAACTGTATTAAATATTAAAGGGTCTCGGCATTAGGAAAGTTGAGAACCACTGCAGTAAAGGAGTAAAGGAAGACACTGATCATTGCTGGTAGAAACCTTCATCAGCAAGCAACACACTTGGACAGTGATACAAGTTAGTTGTGTAAGCTTTACCGGATACTGCAGACCTTCCATTTATTGGCTTTTTGTTTCTTAACCAGGTAATTTATACTCACTAGTTTGCCATTTCTCCTGAACGGTCGACATAACATTGTTGAGATCAATACAAAGCAGTCTGCTGTCTGATAGTCGGCAGCTGAATGGAACTGAGTATTTCAGAGTTATGAAGCTCGTTTGCAAGCCCTAATCTATAGATACTGATAATGATACAACTGCATACAAGAATGCAAACAGAAACTTACCTTTTTAGGAAAACCGGTCAAAATGTCTATCCATGCTTGAAAAACAAAAGCTGCTCTGTAGAATAAGAATAAAATCATCAGTATCAATCGATAAGAAACTAGTCGCTTTCGAGAATAGATGCCTCCGAAAGCTATTGAATGTTCACTGGTCGGACTTTAGGTCCAATACATCTATAAGACAGGAAACAAAACAAAAATATGTGTCTGATTTTATTAGAATGCGTCGCTGGAATTACATCGGTCACGTACTCAGAATGGACATACAGAGACTTCCCCACCAAGCCTTCATATGGTCACCAGAGGGTAAAAGAAAACAGGGAAGACCAAAAGAAACTCTCCGTAGAACCATCACAAGGGAGAGCTCAACCATAGGTCTCAGTCGCACTCAAGACCTACATCAAGTGGCAACGAACCGACAGACGTGGAAAGCTATGACCTCTGCCCTATGCGCCATCTTTGGCACAAGAGGAATAACTAACTAACTAAGAATAAGAATAAACATAGAACTGGTACAGATATACTGAAGCAATGTTTCACTGTATGTAGTAAACTTCAACAAAGAAGACACAAACAATAGCTTGCTTAATCTCATGTGCTTACAGTAATAATCCAATAAAATGAAAGCAGTAAATGAATCCTCCCAACTGAAATACAAAATCTACTCAGAAGTAACTCTATGGTTTTTGCAGATTGTCTTTTTGTTGGTAGAACAGGTAGAACTTTTGATTGCTGTAGATTTTGCATGTAAGTTAAGATAAATTGATTTGCTCTATTTGATTCAATTATTGCTGTAGCATGCACCTGACAAGATAGAGCAAATATCCTAGGCAACAAATGTTGCATTTTATTGTTTGTCCCTTTCTATTACAAGCGTATTAGGAGTCATTAGCTGTTAGCATATATTGTTGAACTAGATACTAGATAATTTGACTATAAATGAACTGTTTTTTGAAACATTTCTTCAACCTCTGGTTTGATTATATGTGTTACATTTTCTTTATCTTTGTTGTTAACAGATTGCTAGTGAGAAAGGCAAAATGGGCAAGAAATCACCATCTAAAGAGCCACCTTCGAAAGCTTCAGGCAAAAGTGTTTCCTGTAAAGTTTACTTACTAGACGGAGAAGGCGTAGATATCCCTATTGATGTAAGTTTTGTGTGTGTGTGTGTGTGGATACATTATAATGTTATCCCTATGTGGGTTCTAGGGACCCATTGTGGGGAAAACAAGAATGGACCCACTGTCTCCCTAACAAGTATGTCGTAAGAGTTAACTAATTGGAAGTTGGAGTGCATCTGCCTGAGAGGCAAGGAACCAACAGTCTGCATACAAATTTGTCAGATCTGTAAAACAGATGTGCACACAACACTCAGGTTCTAGAACAAATCTAAAGTGCAGAGGTGGATAGGCAGTTGAACAACCTCAACTTTCTGCAGGAGTTTACAGCTGGTGAATGCCAGGAAGAACAAGAAGATAATGTTATCACTCATTTTTGTTGTGGCCTGTCTCGTTAAGAATTAAGTTAATTTGTACTGCTTGTGATTGAAAAGTAATACCATATTTTATAAGCACATTGTGGAAAAATATATATTTATGTTATCTTAACTCTTTGAGTCCCAGAGTGTTTAGCATCAGAGGCCCAAGGGGTAGTCAAAGGAGACGTAAAATCGGCGCATCGTGCCTTCATTGGGCTTCTAGACAGTAACCTATGAACGTATGATGCGTTTCTTGGGACTCAAAGAGTTGAAACACACATCAATTAAATTAGTGAGGTCTATCAAACCATGTACAGTTTGATTGAGGGCCGCTGACACAAAGAAATTGGAGGTTCAACTTGTACTTCTGCATTTGCCTTTAAAAGGATGGTTGGCACTACTGTAGTTGCATCTTAGGTCCAACACATCCAGTTTTAGCATACCCTTAATTAGTCGTCTTTTAGGAAATACTTGTTAAATGGCAGTGAGTCTGTACTTTTCCTCCAAAAATGGGACCATGGAACTCACACAGGGAACTATGCAATTGAAAATTGAAATTAAACAGTTATTAGATCTATCCATCAAAAAACATTATAATAATTAACATATAGGCTGAGTCAAAGAATTCGTTTTTCTAAAACCAGTTTTATTTAGCTTTTCTTCTTATATGCAAAGATTATAATTAAAATTAATGTGAATGTTAGTTATATAATGGGTTGGATAACATCATTATATTGTATACAAGTTTTAAAAAGCAAACTTTAATAAAGGGAAAAAGGGGGGGGGGGGGGGGCCCTAAACCCTCACAAGTTTCCTAGAAAGGGGGTTCAAGTTATAATCCAAACAAGGTGGAAAAAAGGGGGGGGGGGGCAACTTTATAATACAGTTGTCACATATGGACCCTTAAACCAGTGAGTGCATATCATAAGAGCAGAGATGAGATGTCTTAGAAGAGCTACTGGGGTAACAACAAAAGATAACATTGAAAATAAAGAAATTAGAAGATGACTTGAGCCTTAAACCAGTTGTGCAGTTTATGAAAGAGCAACAGATGAGTCGGTCTGGCCATCTAATGAGAATGCCCTGTTACCAACAGCCATATACAGTGGATACAGAGCAGAGTAAAGCTGACACCGAACATGGAATACTGGCATCAGAAACAACTTGAAGGAAATAAAGACCAACTTAAACAACACATTGGAAGAAGCACGCAGAAGATCCTTACATCTTCCCCCAACACTTCGATGAAGTAAATGGAAGAAGAAGAAGAAGAAGAAGGCTTAACTAATTTTAGCAACTCTGTGTTCATCATGTAGCAGGTCCTTTGCAGAACGTCTCTCTCATCATGGTCTGCCTGAAAGAAACTCGGTTGCTTGCCAGCGCTCCCGCCTCATGTACTTACATATTCAAAGAAACACTTATATTTTGCGCTCATCTTCATGTTGGTCTGAACCTGCCCCTCCTTCCTGGTACCATACCTTCTGCTATGATTTTTTTCCAATCCACTGTGGCACTTGATGTGACCAGAATATTTCAGCTTCCGAAACAGGATGCTGTTTATTAGCCAATCTTCATTGATGTTCAGATCTTTTAAAATGTCAGTGTCTTTTATCTTCTTTATGCGGACATTAACAGCAAACAGAAAAATACAAACTGAAAGAGAAATGAAATTTCTACAATGAATCCTACATGTAATAAGAAGAGGTAGGATCAGAAATGACAATATCAGGAAACAAGCTGGGACAGAACCAGTGTTAAACTGCATCTAGAGACAAGAGATTAACTGGTTCGGACATGTGTCAAGACTGCCACAAGAAAATACATCACAGTGAGTCCTGTCACTTTAACACAATAAAAGCAGAGTTAGAGGTCGGCCACACAAGCGATGAATAGATGAACTATTTGAGGATGTGAACACCATCATCTGTGCAGCTCACACAAACGCTCCTACCAAATGCCTCTTTAGGACCTGGAAATGCAGAACATGACTAGAGTGAAGAAAAAAGTAGGAGGGCCTGAAGGGACATCTGACTCTTAGTTTCAGCCCTTCTGGGTTGTTTAACTAAAAAAAAAAAGAATTTTTAATAAATAAAATTGCAAATTCTTATGTTTTCCAAATCTGACTTATCTGCAAGTAGTGCTCTTATTTTTGGACCATGAAAAGCTCATCTTCTTGAGAATCTTATGTTGATGATGCAGCGAATGAGCGTGAGGTGTGAGTGAGTGTATCTGAAACTGGGTAGCATATAGGTCAATGTTGCAGGGTTTGATACACCAACACAGCACTTAGATGTTTATCAATGTCAGTCGTGTTTGTGTTAAAGAGAAACAAAAGGGAAATATAATTGTACGTAAACTCTTCCAGTATCAAGGAGCGTGCCATGCATTGGTTTATAATTAGGGTGAAAATATCCTCCTGTTTTTGTTGGTACAGTATCGTGTTTTTTTAGGTAGCCCTAGACCGTTGTGACGATACTGGAATAAAGTCTGTTGTCCCAGTTGACAGTATTGACATGAAGGTCCGAGCCTACCTTAAATAAAACAATACTGTCCTGGTAAAACTGAGATGATATTGTCACCCTATTTATAACCAGTTTAGCTGTCTGTGTGGTACTGAAAGAGTTAATTAATTTGTATTTATGTTTTCAACAATGATATTATATAATTGATATTCAGGTGACCATTTCTCTAATATCTGCACATACTATTTAATATGTATGATTCTGATCATGCATGCTGTCATATGCCCATATGCATGCACACTTTCTGCACACATACACACATATTATATCCATTTACTAAAGTTTCAAGGGGGATCTGCATATTGACAGTATCTTTTCTTTGAAACTAAAATACTCTGGCCATATTAAATGCTAAAATGTTTTGGAAAGAAAACTGGAGTGCATGGTTCTGGGAGGAGGAAGAGGAAAGGAGGTCAGTCAGTCAGCATGATGATTGGCACAGGTAAACAGGTAATCACAGTTGCAACTTCATAGCAGACGTGTCACCCTACATTTGCTCCATTCCTGTGCCAAAGAAAACCACACAGAATGTCTGTCACTGTCAATTATGCAAAAATTGGCACAGACTGCAGTCTTAACCGATTCATCAGCATATACATGCAATTAGTGCATAAGGCAGCAGTCAGAACAGTCAGTACGAACAGTCCAACACTATAAATTCAGCTCGTTGTCAATGGAAGCACAGTTACAACATATCAGTAGTTGCAAATAAAATTAATTGTAAAAGGCAAGTTCTCTGGTAACAGACCATTCGCCATTATCTGAATCTGCAGTTCAGAACACAAACCATTTTTGGTACAGCTAGAAAACATTCCAAATGAAATCTGCAGCTCACATAGTCACATCATGCACTCAGCTTTGTAGCTGGGCGATGGAACTATAGCTTGTCAGTCTAGATATGGAGGAAAATACAACAGCTAACTATTGTCAGAAGCAAAAACTTGCCATGACTGAAAAAAAAAAAAAAACACGGTAAACCCACCATATTGACCAGAGCATGGATAGGCACATGATATCAAGGACATGAAAGTTCATGAGGTCAAAAAGTTGGTGGGTGACAGAGTGGCTTTCTGGCATACTGTGAAGAGAACCACTTTCTGCAAAGGACCTGCTGTTTGATGAGAATGACTTTGACTTATTTTAAATTAAAAAAAAAAATAAATTTAGAATACAGGAATCATCAAACATTTGTATTTGTTGGCACATTCTGTGTACACATATGGTGAATATCTTTTAACTACTCCTATGTTCTTGATGGTCTTATGGTTTTTGTTTATTCATTGTATACATTTACAGAAAAATGACATTGGCAAAGCACTGTTTGATAAAGTATGCACCCATCTGAACCTCATTGAACAGGATTATTTTGGTTTGACCTACGCAGATGACAAAGGACCTGGCCATTCAAAGGTATCTGTTTCTATCTTCATGTGTGTTTATTTTATTCTTAAAATAAAGTTGCTGTTATTATTGGTGGCACCGTAGGTGCTGGAACCTTAGCGGATTGGGGGCCTTGAGTTTTGGGGGACATCTTTTTTACAAATCTGGCTCATTTGCATGCAGAGTGATCGTTCCTTGCCTCTCACGCACATGCAGTCTAACTTCAAAGGAAACACCATAAGACGCCTTTTGCAACACTTATCTCATGACCAGTTCAGCTCATATTCCCTGTTTCTGCTTCTTTCTATGAAACATATTAGTTCGTTTTTTATGCTGCATATGAGAGCAAGGTTAGTGTAGACTTATCACCTGCATACAAAAGGTCACAAATTCCCTGTCTCTGCTTCTTTCTATGAGCACCAGTGAAACATGTTAGTTCGTTTTTCATGCTGCTTATGAGAGCAAGGTTAGAGTAGACTTAACACCTGCATACATAAGGTCACATATTCCCTGCCTCTGCTTCTTTCTATGAGCACCAGTGAAACATATTAGTTCGTTTTTCATGCTGGAGCTTAGAGTAGAGACTTATCACCTGCCTCAACCTTTACCAAAACATAATCTTGAAGAGGATTGTCGTACAGAGCTGTCCTGCCTCTCTCCAGATTCATGAAGCCAAGGGTGTGCATAACTGGTACTGGAATGGAAGTTTATGTCTGTGGAAAGCCATTTTAGGATGTCACCAGATCTGGATTCAGCCCAGGGTGGCTTATGAAGAGAACCAGAAAATAAGCATATCAAACATCATTACAAACATCATTACAAACACAACACCAGCTGTGCTTGTACATATTCTTCAGGAGGGGTGGGCACCCAGCAAAATGTGTTTTTATAGCAACGGTAGTCACATAGAGTAAATTATATAAGTAAAAATGGTTGTATATCCATTTATTTTACCACATGTAACAGCATGTTTGACTTTGTATCTGTTAATGATATTGGTATCTGTGAATATTATAGTAAAAAAGTAAGAAGTAAAGATCCATTTTCACGCCTTTTAGGTTTATGGGAAGAGCGCCCATATTTTTACAGACCATCAGCACTAGGTGGGTAATGTGGTCAGCATTACGCCGGCTGTCTTTACTTCCTGGTACCCATTTTAGGTTGGGTCGAGCTGTGACACCTCACACCATGATAAAAATACACACAGCCAGTAGTGGGTTTCAATCGCGGTACGTTGGAATTACAAGTCAGACTCGCAATGCCTAAGCCACAGACGCCACTGTGATTATTATAAGGTTAAAAAAAGGTTCACACCATGAAGCTTATTTTATATCTGGTGCCAGCTTCTTTGTAGACTTCTGAGAAGTGCCCATGCCACTTTCACAATTGTTGGTTGGCTACAGTGGATGCACGGCTGTCTTCGTGAATATTACATGGTGAAATCCCAATCTCTTTCACAGTGTGACTCCTGTCCAAAAACCACTTCACAGTGTGACTCCTGTCCAAAAACCACTCCACAGTGTGACTCCTGTCCAAAAACAACTTCACAGTGTGACTCCTGTCCAAAAACCACTTCACAGTGTGACTCCTGTCCAAAAACCACAAGGACATTCACGCACACACAGAAATAAAAAATAAGCTACACGTCACAGAGATAAGACCCCCCGTCACAGAAATCAGACCCGTCCCCCCACCCCCTTCCCTGCATGCAAGGAGAATGAAGTTCTATACTTATTGGCTCTCACCTGATGATGTGGTCAGTATTATGCCTGTCACCGTTAATGCCTATAGTAATGTTTAGTATCCATTTTGGACTGGGTCACAATAGAGCCCAGGATAGTTTAAACAAAAAAAATGGCAACACCAGATGTCCAGTAGATAGTATGCTTACTTCTCCCTGTGTGTTCTGAGGTTCCGTTGGGGGGGGAGTAAGGAACAGATCCACTGCCTGGGATTTATTTGAAGATTGCTTAACTCTTTATGTTTTGGGTTGAAAGATACAGATATCACAGCTAAGCTATAAACCACAACACACCATACTACCACCATTTCAATGATGAACACAGAAGAAGAAAAAGATATTGTAGCCACAGCACAACAACTGCTCCAGCAGTGATTGTTGCTGCATGCTCCTAAAGAAACACAAACCAGCTCCATAAACATTCATCTCAGAGGTGTAAAGACTCATTGTTTGTTGACCTCTGTTTCCTGTGTTGCAGGTATGGCTAAATTTGGACAAGAAAGTTTCCAAACAGATGAAACGTGAGTAATCCTTGCTACCACGTCACCTGTTCAGCTGAGCTTGTCAGTGTTTCTTAGTTTGTGGTGTTGTATTGACTCTATTCTGGGGTTGTTTGTACAGGGGAGGAGCATTTCTTGTCAACATGGATTGCCTGATGTGAAATGTTTGTTTTGCAGATCTTGTGTCTGGTATGTTTGCGTCCATTGTTTGGTAGAGTGGTGTTGGGGGATGGGTTGTAGTAGTAACATTAGATGAGGGGCGATGGGTCATACTAGTAACATTACATGTGAGACAAACTAGCATTTGTCTTTTATAGGGTTTTTTCTCTCTGTTGGTCATTCTCTCCTGTTGGCTTTCAGTTAATTAATCACAACATGCCATTGTATGCATTATAGCTAATAAAATAATCCCTAAGCAGATCTGCACATGTAAATAGACTGCCAAAACATCTTCATGTTTATAGTTTCACTGATTGTGGTTTCAATGGTATTTGACGTCATAGGCAATCAAAGGGAAATAGGAACAAGTAAGAACTAAGGCCCAGCTCCACCAACCTACACACTAGGTGAACTTTCATTGATTCTTGGTCAGGCTGGTGTATGTTAGAGAGGTGTAGAATGCACTCTCTGGTAGGACCTAGGCTCAGTGTGTGGGGTCGGGGGTCGGGGTTAGGGCCAGTTGTACATGTTATGGGATTGTTAAAACCGCTCACATCCTGTAATATAGAGCACACGTGGTCGCCGGTAAGACGGTCTAGACAATACAACATTGCACCGACCTGACATTCCTGCCACTTAAACTTGCACATCTTAAAGGTAAACATGCATGAATGAATGTCCAGTCACAGTGTCCGGGCCTGAGTTCATCACTCATAAGTGTTTAGGTTAGCGGAGCTGGGCTTGAGTTCCTTACTTGCTCCGGGAAATGAAGTGGCTTTGTTGTGAGCATCCATGCCATGGTAACTGAAGTTAGATACCTGTAACACCTGTTTGCTCTTAGATCTGCTTTAAACTTCAATCATATGGCATGCATTTTAGAGAGGGATAATCACAAAAGAGAAAATTTTTCTGATCAGGAGTTACTTTCCCCCTTGGTAGTGACAACGATGGTTCAGTCATCTGAGCAGAATTGAACAAAATCAGCCAGCATCTAAAGCATACAACATGAGAACAGCAGGCTACAGGGCAAGAGGCCAACCAAGAAAGAGATGATCAGAGGGAGTAAAACAGATACTACAACAATGCATTATGACATTAACACAAGCTAAGCAACTAGCAAAAAAGAGGAAGAAAAAGAAAAAGAATAGTCACACACCTCTGTAATAATCAGCACCACATAGTCTGCACTGGCATGGTTATCTAGGATAATCTGTGTCAATGTACCGAAATAGTCCAGGTAATCAAGGTCACAGGCAGTAAAAGAGACCTTAAGTCACTTTATTCTGGTCAGCTAGGCCTTGGAATCAAAGTTGGACAGCAGCCCTGAAACATTAGTTTTCTCTGTTTATTAAAATACATATAAAACATGAAAAGGCGGAAGACACGTACTCATTTCTAGAGTCCTGTCATTACACACACAGCGCTACAGTTTATGTCTGTGAAGCCAGCAGCCACATACGATGGGCTGTCATAACTATTGTGCCAACAGTGACATCCTCTAGTTTCAACTATATGGTTTGTAAAGGATCCTTATTTGATGCAGGGGGGGGGGGGGGGCTGCATGGTCTCGAGGCATGGTGTCTGCCTCGAGTGCTAGAGGTTCTGGGTTCAATCCCTGGTAAAGGCTGGGATTTTTTTCACATGGACTTGGACGTCTCGTAATTTCCCCGGGTCTCTGGGTAATGTCTGAACAATTCCTGTGTGCATTGTTGCACACGTAAAAAAATGTCTTGACAGTTGGAAATTGAAAAGGGAAGCCTAATGGCACTGCCCAGGCAAAATTTGGAGTTAAAAATCTACCCAAAGCATTTCAGAATCCTCGCCGGTGCTACAGAACCTGTGCACTGTGCTGAGCTTTTTCGGACTCAGACTTGAGTTAGAAGAAGAATGGAGCAGGTATGGGTTACTACCCGTGTGCCATGATGTTGATTCATTGTTCAAACTTCAAACTTCTTTATGTTATTGTGACATATTGGAAATAAGGCTTTATGTCCATATTCTCCTGTTCACATGGCTGTCCATAAATAACGTTATATTCCATTGACAATTCCACCATCCCAAATCCCTTGAAGCATTGAGCTCATATGTGAACAGTAAATGAAAATGCAGTAGAGGAAGCATTAACAGCCTAGTCCCACAGAATTGGGTTCTTTTCTTGTAATTCACCCCATCTGGGGGAATTTGAGATTTTGTGGGGAGTTCCAGGGAAAGTCCGCCCCCTTCCTCCATCTCCCCCCCCCCCCCCCCCAACCCTGATACCCTCCATAATAATTGACTTTCCGGGGAACTCTCAACGAAATCTCGGAGTCCTCGAGATGAGGGTGAAATAAAAGAAAAGTATCAATAATCGTATTATTAAGGATTTTATTCCCCAAAACACAGATAATTTTATTATTCAAGGTTTTATTCAAGTTTAAATAATTTGTCAGTCTACAATGAAATTTACAATTTTTTTTTTTTAGAAACCATTCTTTCTTTTTCAGTATATTAAAATCTCCTTTGTTTTGCAGGTAATGCCTGGGTTTTTGAATTTGCTCTGAAGTTTTACCCACCTGACCCATGTCAGCTGAGGGAGTATCTTACAAGGTGAGCACTTTGTTGAGAGAAAGAGCAATAATTATATTTGCCACATTAGGTCATTCTGTTTGAAGATTTCATCAAGCTTCTAAACACAAAAATATCTCCATTGCTTATTTGCGACCCATGGGCATTTTAACTAAAATCATTATAAATGGGGTATGAGGAAATGCCAAGAAGCAGCTGATAAATGCACTATTCCCACCAACTTTTTGCTGTTGATGCCAGACATGGACTGTCCTAGAAAAACATACAAGCATAATTACAAGTGAGATGAGATGTATACAAAGTGCGGAGGGAAAAACAAGAGATAGAGTCACCAACAAAGAATTTAAAAAGATGGTAGGCACAATACCAGTGAATGATTTCACAGAACATCAAAGAATCAAAGGGTTTGGTTGTAACAATTTATTTATATACACAATTATTTTTTTAAAAGAAACATTTGAATTGAAGTATCAATAAAGACGAGCAGAGATAAGAATGATTTCTTTCCCTTAGGCCTAACAAATTATGTGGTGATCCATACCATAACCACCTGACCCCCAATTACTCAAGGAATTTTCAGTATGACATCATACTGACTAAATAAAAGCCATTTTTATTTTTGCAGAATTAAACACTGAAGATGCTATTTTTGGTAAATATAATCATATCTGGGGCTTCTAGACACTGCAGGTGCAAACAGAGGCAGTGCTTTTAACAGAGCTTGTCAAGGACTAGCCAGGTAGCAGTTTTGGCTTAGCATCTTCTTGGGGAAGATCACTGGACAGCAGTGCTGTTTTAGCTGCTTTACAAGGCCAGAGGGTTAAGAGATGAGAACCTTCAAGGTGCTCAGGACTTCTGCTGGGATTTCACATTTGTGGATAGGCATTTTAGAATTTGATTAGGACATTATTCAACATGTCACTAGTGAACTTACTGAGATTATTAAACTTAGGGAGATTAATTTCAGATTGATAGTGTTTCTTCCAAATGCGTCAGATATTTTATTGTCATAAATTTCAGCCCGGTGCTCGGGGAGAAAAAGCTATGACTGTACATATTTGTACTTAATAGGATTTTTGTTTTACTTACCTAGTATAAGATTGTATGTAAAATAACACCGGATTTGTATTTCTAATTTTACAGATGGCTTGTGTCACTTCAGATCAGAAGAGATTTACTCAGTGGAAAGTAAGATTATTTGCTGTCTGTTGTGTTAATAAAGGTTAATTATTAATTTTAATAAATATTAAATGAATATTTAATATTAATTATTGTATTTTTTTTATATATATAAAACATTTAGAAATTCAATACGTCTACAAAAGATAGCCTAGAAATGTACAAAATAAATACACTTTTCCACAGTACATTGTATAAAAATAATTTAACTCTACGAATTTGTCATATTATAATTACACTTTTGTAAATGCATTATAGATGTTTATTTATTAACAGTTTCACTATGTAATAATTTAAAAAAATAACTTTTTTCTTCCCCTTCAAATTTCACTTAAAGAAAAATAAAAAGCATCCTTATAATTCTCTGAAACTGCTCTAAGAAACTGGACGAATAAAATGAGAAGCCAAAGAAATTTGGAGTTTTCTTCGGTTTTTATAAATATCTAAGGGTCAAAACCTTAACCTTAGACCACTGATAAGACAGGCAGGTGCAAAGTTAAACACATTTTATCCAGTCTCTGAATATGTAAATGAGGAAAAGTGCATTTCTCTGTGAAGGGAAATAATCACTGAATACAAATTGGGCAAAAAATTTACCGATTTTCTTTAACCATGTAAAAGTGGTGGAAGTCACCAAGATCTAGCAGCTAGACACTTGCCTGCGGATTGGAAGGTCTTGGGTTTGAATCCTGACGGGAACTGGGCTTTTTTCAAAAATGACTTTGGCTCCTGTGTCAACCCTGCTTTGAGTGGGTACCAGGTACAGTCCTGGGAAGTAAAGGTGGCCGGCATGATCCTGACCACATCACCCACCAAGTGCCGTTTGGTCTATAAAATAAATAGGTCTAGCCCTATATTTACAAATCGCCTGAAGCCATAGAAAAGGGTCCTGTAAAAGTGGTTTTGGTCACCTCAGAGAGCAGCGTGACACAATGAAATTATTTGACATCACAGTGAATCCACAATATAATCATACCCACCATGTCTACAGACTATGTATTTGCAGCCAGTACTAAAGCTGTCAGACAGGTCTACTGGGCACTGCCCAAAAAACATCATGTCAGTTAAAAACCTTTTAAAGCTGGAAAAAAGACTTTCTCAGGGCTAAAGATCAGAGAATCATCACAACAGAGATATTTTAGAATAACTGCCAGAGTGACAAGGATAAATAAAATTGAAAATGATAAAGTCATTTGAAAAGAATGCCTTGGTACTAACTATCACAGAGAATCAGGCTGAAGTCTCCCAGCAAAGACTGTGGATCTGGCCCAAGGGAGCCACAAGAGAAGTAATGGGGGACCGGTGGCGACCATAAACGCACAATCCTATTTGTGACCCAGACGGGACTCAATGTTTAGCATGACTGATGTCGAATGCAGAAGAAGAAGAAGAAGAAGAAAGCTGAAGAAATAAGTGAGCCCAAAACAAGTAAAAGACCATCTAAATGATGAAGTGATTACATCAAGAACGTTCTAATGGAAACAGAGACCAACTTTAGAAAGAACACATGGATGTTCTTACACCTACTTCCAACACAACCCGAGGAAGGAAGGAGTTTATTTAAGTCTTTTTTGTGTGTCTTAACACTTTGTCTTCTCATTTTTATGAGGGGCATTCAGAAAAGAATGCACCACAACCTTTTTTCATGAGCTGTATAAAAAAGTATGATCTCTTCTGCTAACCTCTGCATTTTTGATTAAACCATATTTAATTAATTAGATAACCACTAAAGACTTCATTCAATGTGTTTATTAAAATTGAAGAAAAGACCATTGAACAAGTATATGATTTTCTCTATCTTGACAACTTAACAGTTACAGAAATTTCTCTTTTCAGAGCCAACTTTAAAGCTGTTGAAATATGGTATTATTGCAGGATCAAAGAATAACATTGTAAACTCTGTCAGTCACACACATCCTGAATCTTGATTTTTTTTGGGGGGAAGCATTCCCAGCCCAAGAGGTTTATTGACGCAGATATCACCCACCTCCATTAATCCAAGTGATTGACCTTCTTTTTCTAGTCGGTGACTCCAAGTGTTTGTTGTTCTGCCTGCCTATTATCTCATCTCCATCTTCTTGGTCTGGTTCATGGTTTACTCTTCTTCTTCATGTTCAATGGCTGTAAACTCTTGCAACAAAGTTCTGGTTGTTCTTTGACTTCTTAACTCTGGTCTGGTTTCAGAATTTGAGTTTTATGTGCATATCTGGCTTATTTGCATGAGGAATATTGGCTTCTCACCTCTCAGGCAGATGCACTCCAACAGAAGGAAACACCCCTAATTAGTCATCTTTTATGACTTGCTTGTTGGAAATGGGGGGGGGGGGGGGGGGTCTGCTCTCCCCCTCCCCCAATTACGAGGCCTTGAACCAACCTTGGAATGCTCTTCTCACATTCAGCTTTTATGAGTACTCAGTTTTTGTTGTGTCTCTGCTAACTGTCATTCTCTCGATATGCTCTAGCTATTACAGTCTATTAACCCGTCTCTGTTAACTGTCATTCTCTCGATATGCTCTAGCTATTACAGTCCATTAACCCATCTCTGTTAACTGTCATTCTCTCGATATGCTCTAGCTCTTACAGTCTATTAACCCGTCTCTGTTAACTGTCATTCTCTCGATATGCTCTAGCTATTACAGTCTATTAACCCGTCTCTGTTAACTGTCATTCTCTCGATATGCTCTAGCTATTACAGTCTATTAACCCGTCTCTGTTAACTGTCATTCTCTCGATATGCTTTAGCTATTACAGTCTATTAACCCGTCTCTGTTAACTGTCATTCTCTCGATATGCTCTAGCTATTACAGTCTATTAACCCGTCTCTGTTAACTGTCATTCTCTCGATATGCTCTAGCTATTACAGTCTATTAACCCATCTCTGTTAACTGTCATTCTCTCGATATGCTCTAGCTATTACAGTCTATTAACCCGTCTCTGTTAACTGTCATTCTCTCGATATGCTCTAGCTATTACAGTCTATTAACCCGTCTCTGTTAACTGTCATTCTCTCGATATGCTCTAGCTATTACAGTCTATTAACCCGTCTCTGTTAACTGTCATTCTCTCGATATGCTCTAGCTATTACAGTCCATTAACCCGTCTCTGTTAACTGTCATTCTCTCGATATGCTCTAGCTATTACAGTCTATTAACCCGTCTCTGTTAACTGTCATTCTCTCGATATGCTCTAGCTATTACAGTCTATTAACCCGTCTCTGTTAACTGTCATTCTCTCGATATGCTCTAGCTATTACAGTCTATTAACCCGTCTCTGTTAACTGTCATTCTCTCGATATGCTCTAGCTATTACAGTCTATTAACCCGTCTCTGTTAACTGTCATTCTCTCGATATGCTCTAGCTATTACAGTCTATTAACCCGTCTCTGTTAACTGTCATTCTCTCGATATGCTCTAGCTATTACAGTCTATTAACCCGTCTCTGTTAACTGTCATTCTCTCGATATGCTCTAGCTATTACAGTCTATTAACCCGTCTCTGTTAACTGTCATTCTCTCCATATGCTCTAGCTATTACAGTCCATTAACCCGTCTCTGTTAACTGTCATTCTCTCGATATGCTCTAGCTATTACAGTCTATTAACCCGTCTCTGTTAACTGTCATTCTCTCGATATGCTCTAGCTATTACAGTCTATTAACCCGTCTCTGTTAACTGTCATTCTCTCGATATGCTCTAGCTATTACAGTCTATTAACCCGTCTCTGTTAACTGTCATTCTCTCGATATGCTCTAGCTATTATAGTCTATTAACCCGTCTCTGTTAACTGTCATTCTCTCGATATGCTCTAGCTATTACAGTCTATTAACCCGTCTCTGTTAACTGTCATTCTCTCGATATGCTCTAGCTATTACAGTCTATTAACCCGTCTCTGTTAACTGTCATTCTCTCGATATGCTCTAGCTATTACAGTCTATTAACCCGTCTCTGTTAACTGTCATTCTCTCGATATGCTCTAGCTATTACAGTCTATTAACCCGTCTCTGTTGACTGTCATTCTCTCGATATGCTCTAGCTATTACAGTCTATTAACCCGTCTCTGTTGACTGTCATTCTCTCGATATGCTCTAGCTATTACAGTCTATTAACCCGTCTCTGTTAACTGTCATTCTCTCTATATGCTCTAGCTATTACAGTCTATTAACCCGTCTCTGTTAACTGTCATTCTCTCTATATGCTCTAGCTATTACAGTCTATTAACCTGACTCTGTTAACTGTCATTATCTCGATATGCTCTAGCTATTACAGTCTATTAACCCGTCTCTGTTAACTGTCATTCTCTCGATGTGCTCTAGCTATTACAGTCTATTAACCCGTCTCTGTTAACTGTCATTCTCTCGATGTGCTCTATCTATTACAGTCTATTAACCCGTCTTTGTTAACTGTCATTCTCTCGATATGCTCTAGCTATTACAGTCTATTAACCCGTCTCTGTTAACTGTCATTCTCTCGATATGCTCTAGCTATTACAGTCTATTAACCCGTCTCTGTTAACGTGTCATTCTCTCGATATGCTCTAGCTATTACAGTCTATTAACCCGTCTCTGTTAACTGTCATTCTCTCGATATGCTCTAGCTATTACAGTCTATTAACCCGTCTCTGTTAACTGTCATTCTCTCGATATGCTCTAGCTATTACAGTCCATTAACCCGTCTCTGTTAACTGTCATTCTCTCGATATGCTCTAGCTATTACAGTCTATTAACCCGTCTCTGTTAACTGTCATTCTCTCGATATGCTCTAGCTATTACAGTCTATTAACCCGTCTCTGTTAACTGTCATTCTCTCGATATGCTCTAGCTCTTACAGTCTATTAACCCGTCTCTGTTAACTGTCATTCTCTCGATATGCTCTAGCTATTACAGTCTATTAACCCGTCTCTGTTAACTGTCATTCTCTCGATATGCTCTAGCTATTACAGTCTATTAACCCGTCTCTGTTAACTGTCATTCTCTCGATATGCTCTAGCTATTACAGTCTATTAACCCGTCTCTGTTAACTGTCATTCTCTCGATATGCTCTAGCTATTACAGTCTATTAACCCGTCTCTGTTAACTGTCATTCTCTCGATATGCTCTAGCTATTACAGTCTATTAACCCGTCTCTGTTAACTGTCATTCTCTCGATATGCTCTAGCTATTACAGTCCATTAACCCGTCTCTGTTAACTGTCATTCTCTCGATATGCTCTAGCTATTACAGTCCATTAACCCGTCTCTGTTAACTGTCATTCTCTCGATATGCTCTAGCTATTACAGTCTATTAACCCGTCTCTGTTAACTGTCATTCTCTCGATATGCTCTAGCTATTACAGTCTATTAACCCGTCTCTGTTAACTGTCATTCTCTCGATATGCTCTAGCTATTACAGTCTATTAACCCGTCTCTGTTAACTGTCATTCTCTCGATATGCTCTAGCTATTACAGTCTATTAACCCGTCTCTGTTAACTGTCATTCTCTCGATATGCTCTAGCTATTACAGTCTATTAACCCGTCTCTGTTAACTGTCATTCTCTCGATATGCTCTAGCTATTACAGTCTATTAACCCCCACGATGCCTTTAATCAGTAGTGATTTGAACAGATTATGAATTTCATTGTTGGTTCTCACTCTCCATTCTCCACTTTTTTGCACCCTTGATGGGTCCAACGATTTGTCATAACATTCTGTTCTCAGAGGTTTGTAATAAGGATTCAGGGCCATTTAGTATAATTGGTCTATCCATATTTTGTGTGCTGTGACCTTGTTTGCAGTATATTGTTGAAATTATGTTGAATTTTGAATTAGGAATCGATAGCACAGCACTTGGGACACTCCCATAAGTGCTCAGTTTCTGTCTTCAGCAGCAAGCGAAGAGTTCCAGTTCCGATGGTACCAGTAACCGTCTGATTGTATATCCGTCTCATCCTCCCCCTGAGTGTTGTGTGTCGGCCAGATCTCATGGTAACTCCTTGCAGCACCATTCTCCTTAGACCGTAATGATCTGTCTGCGCCTCCGCACTGTTTACTCGCTCCCAAAGGGCCCTCATAATATCTGACTTGTGATACATTAAATCACCACCAAGTGGTTCAGAGCCAGCCAGTCTATCTGCCTGCTCATTTTCCAACACAGCGGCATAACCTGGAGAAAATATCCAAAGGATGTTAATTACCCGGGACCTCTGAAGTGATGCTTGTCACTCTGCACCAAGCATGCCTGTTTTTACCTTTCTTGTGTTGAAATTACTGAAGGTCAAGGTCTAGCTTAAGAATTTTAAGAGCATGTTCTAGCAAAAACAATATCAGTTTATGTCTTTTTATGTTTTCAAAACAGTTCATTTGTAAAACCTTGATCTGAGCATTTTTAATTTCCTTCTTGGTTTATTTCTGTTTTCTTTATCTGTGTGCCCCTGAAACTTGCTCTGTTTGTCTTTACTTCCATATTGTAGCCTTTTATCTTTGCTTCCACATTGTAGTCATTGTTTATGTTTTTGCTATCATTGCTTGATTCACACTTTCATTGTATTTCAGGATTCCGTGTACATTCACCACGTATGCCATCCTGGGGTCTTACAGCGTTCAAGCAGACATCCATGACTTTGACCTGGCTACTCATGGAAATCATTTTGATTACATTAGAGACATGACCTTTGCACCTAACCAGACACCAGAACTGCTAGAGAAGATTGCAGAGCTTCATAGATTGCACAAGTGAGTGTTTGAAATTTTCCCCTCCCATGTGGGTTCTGGCGTTCCCATTCTGGGGAAAAAATTAATAGACCCACTGCCATCCTATAAAAGTATGTCGTACAAGGCAACTAGTTAGTGGAGTTTCCTCCAAAGTTAGAGTGCCTCTGCATGAGAGGCAAGGAACCAACAGTCTGCATACAAATAAGCCAGATCTGTAAAATGGATGTGCTTGAACCACTCAAGTTCCAAGACAAGATCAAAGTCCAGAAATGGATGAATAGCCAGAATTTTCCGCCGAAGTTTACAGCCAGTGAACACTAAGAAAAATGAGAAGAAGAAATGTTTCCTATCCACATTTTGTTTTGAGAGTTTTGTTAATGTTGGCATATCAAGAGATCTGGAGGGAAATTAAGGTCAGCAAAGTTATAGTTACATGACTTACAAAATGGTGTTACTTTGTTTACCCAACTGTAATATAATTGATACATTTTGAAAATTCAAGTAATTAATCCCTTGATTTGTTTATTTTAGCTTCTTCATTTTGTTGCAGCTTCATATATTTATTTGTTTAGTTCCTTTAAGTTTTATATTGATGCTGCCATGTTATTCAAGTATCTGATTAGCATGCTGATGAAACTTGTTTTCCTGTGTGGCTAGTTTTGGTTAAAAGTGGCAAAATAAGGCAAAATGAGCTAGGTCCATGATTTGCATAATTTTATACACATGAAATTTCTTAAATGAATAAAAAAAAATGTGTTATCTATGCAGTATCCTAAACTATGCAATTACCTTTTTTTTTTTTTTTTAAATTTGTTCCAAAGAGGCCAGGAACCACATGAAGCAGACAAAAACTTCCTCGACAATGCAAAAAAACTGGCCATGTATGGTGTTGATCTCCACAAAGCAAAAGACTCTGACAACATTGCTGTTATGGTTGGTGTTTGCTGTAGTGGTTTGCTGATTTTACGGGACAAACTTCGACTTAATCGTTTCGTGTGGCCGAAAATTCTGAAGCTGTCCTACAAACGCAATCACTTTTACATCAAAATCAGACCAGGAGAGGTAAGCTTTTTTGTGGCAACCAGTATGTTATTGACTTTTAAAACACTGAATGTCTCAAAAGAATCCGCTCAGAAAATGGGACTAGTTATCAATCAAGAGACAGAATACATGATAATAACTAGTCAGGGAAAGGATATAAACTCCGGCCACAAGTCGATAATATGAAAATCAAACGAACGGAAAAGTATAAGTACTTGGGTGCAAACTTTAACTGCTCCAACATGCTGAGAGAAGAAATACAATCTAGAATACAATCTGGAAATAAAGTATACTATGCCCTTTAACATCTGCTAAAGTCAAAGTGTCGGTCTTGTAACACCAAGATCAAAATATATAAAACGTTGATAAGACCAGTCGTGTTATATGGCTCTGAAACTTGGAGCACAACTAGAAGAGATGAAGCCTTATTACAGGTTTTTGAAAACAGAGTCTTACGACAAATCTTTGGACCCATCAAAGATGCAAATAGCAGTGAATGGAGAGTGAGAAGCAACAACGAAATTCATAATCTGTTTAAACCACCACTGATTACTGGCATCATGAGAGCTAATAGGCTGAAATGGTTGGGACATATTGAAAGAATGTCAGATGGCAGAGAAGTAAAAACTGTATACACCAGGGAGATGAATGGTCGTAGACCACGAGGGAGACCAGGAAAATGATGGAAAGATAATATCCAGACAGACCTGCAAACACTTGGTGTTACCAACTGGAAAGAGAAGGCTAACCAAAGAGATGAGTGGAGGCGGGTGATATCTGCAGCAGTGAACCTCAAGGGATCGGAATGCTAAAGAAGAAGTAGAAGTATGTTATTGGACTCCTTGTTACACCATGTGGCTTATTGGGTATATGTTGCCTGTATCATATTATTTGACAGATCAACATTCTGTGTGTGACACGATTATCATGATGGCCTCCCCCAAATGTTCTAATACAAATTTTTTAGTAAGTAAAGAAAAGGACTTGTTTTTATGCTTGAGTTTTGGATCATGAGTTGAGTTCCAACTTTACTGCAGACTTTTGGCTTCTCTCAGGAGCTTTCATTTGAGGATTTTTCCTCTCCTCAATCCAATTTGATAAACGCTTCATTCCTGTAAGTGGAAATCACACAGAAGTTTCTTCAAAGTGCCATTTAAAAACACTAGTGAAAAACACATCAGTCTCAGCTACGTTTTGAAACTTGCACATGTAAAGAAAATGCATAAGGCAGCCTTCGGATTCATAAACACTATATCACCCACCAGAATTGCATCTCATTGATACAAGCAGTCAATCACAGAAGCTATCAGTTGCACACACATTACTGCATAAATACATGTCTTTCCTGTAATCGGCTACCAGCCATTTTTAGTGGGGCTCATAAAACAAAACTGCTGCAGGCACACTAGAAAAAACAATCCATATTAAATCTGCAGATCACAGTGTTGTACCAAGCACTCAGCTCAGTAGCTGGGTGTCAGAGCCTTTGTTTTCATACTTCAGGCCTATTAGTCATGTATGTAGTCATCATCATCCTGATGTGTCACTATACGTCATATCGGGCCCCCAGGCTAGTCCCCCATTCCACTCAATCTTGTGCAGTCCCTTCAGAATCATGAATAGAATCCATCTAGTACCTTTGGATTTTCTCAGCAGATTTCATCAAGGGGTTTCTCATGGACCTTTTAAATTCCTCAGTTTTTCTGTTTCCAGTTTCACTGTCTTTTTGGTGATTTTCATAGTGGCCAATACATTGCCAGATATTTTGTCTTGTAACTATTGATACTATTGGTTAACCAGACATTTCTCTTATTTCTTCACCTTTCTTCTTTTTTCTTCATGTTCGCCAGCTGTAAACTCAGGCAGAAAGTTTTGGTTGTTAATGCACTTATGGACCTTAGTCTTGTTTCAGATCCTAATTTTGCATGCCTATCCGTTTTACAGATCTGGCTTTTTTTTTAGCAGACTGTTGGTTCCTCACCTCTCAGGCAGATGAACTTTGACTTTGAAGGAAACATCCCTAATTCTTCGATTCTTACAGCATGCTTGTTAGGGTTCGGTGGTCTGTTCATTTTAATTACCAAAGCTCACTTGAAGAACATTAATCTCTTTTGAATTCATCCCATTTAATTTTCACTAATTTCCTTAGGCATTTGTTTTAACATTTATTTACTTTTTGTTCCTGTCTTAAGCAGTTCTTTGGCTGTCACTTGCAATTGCTAAAACTGAAATGAGATTGGAATTGAAAATACATAACTTGATTTTGAAACTATATAATTTTAAAAGGTTTTAATAGTTACATATTTAAACAAACTATCCTGCACTTCTTTAGTGATGTGATCAGTGTCATGCTAGCTGCCTTTTGCAGAATATTTTTTGCTACTTATTATTAGATTGTTGACCTGGGAGACTATGTCAGTTTGGAAAATCCACCTCATGGATATTTATGGTCACCAGGTGGCAAGCTGGCAACCTGGTCGCTACCACAGTTCATAATTTTGGTATCTTGAGTTTGATTCAGCTGCAGGCAGTTTGGCAGCAAGCCTTTTTGTGTGAATGAATGAATGAATGAATGAATGAATTAGTTAGTTAGTTAGTTAGTTGGGTTATCGTCATTGTACTCCGGACATGTCCATAGGTGCTCAGATCCTCCCCTCAGTATGAACCCCAACGTCCGATGGCTAATAGTACCAGTTCTATGTTGATTAACAAGTCTTCTGACGTGTCCGGTGTGCGTCTCGTTTTTTGCTGTGCCGATCTTAATTCCCAAGTCTGCCATTCTGGCGAGTGATGTGGATTCACTGCCACCAAAGTCCTCTATCCTTCCCATTTCTCTGAGGGCATTGATAATATCAGCATGATCCATAGGCCGACCGTCGGTAGTGATAGCAGATCCAGCCAACCTGTCAGCTCTTTCATTTCCATCGACGCCTGCGTGTCCCGGAACAAAACTAAAGGTGACTCCACGCACAGTGGACTTCTGTAATGATTCAAGCCATTGTCTTCGCACTGAACCTGCCTGAACCCTCCGGATCATACTCATTGAATCACTGAGTATACATATGCGGGTGTATTTTTGTGTTTCAAGCCAGGCAAACGCTTGCGTCACTGCCATCACCTCCATCGTCATGCTGCTGGTTGTCATGGAGAAGGCACCGTTGGCTTCTTTGACTGTTCTGCCCGCTGAGCGTGCTGTAAATGCCCATGCGCTTCTTCTTTGGCGTATAACGGATCCGTCTGTATAGATTAGTGCATCTGCTTCGTCTGAATTTTCACCGATGAGAGCGTTGACCTCTGCATTAACAGCAACAGGATTCTCTTCTCTACATCGCCTGTTGAGTGTGACAATACAGGAAAATGTACAAATAAACGCCTGAGGCACAGGTATCCATTCTGCACCAGGTATGATGTCGGTTAGGCTGCATATTTGCCTAATAACATCTTCTGCCCGACCTAGCCACGATTTTCCCCTCTTCAGTCTGTCGCCCTTTTCACTAAAAAGCGCTTGATGCAGTGGGTGTTTCTTATCAGCACATATTTTGAGGTATGCCCGAGCCCTCCACATCCTGATCCTTTGGTTCATTGTTGGAAAGTCAAGTAGATACCTCATTGCTTCACAGGATGTGTCTCTTGTACATCCCAAAATAATGCGCATGGCTTCATTTTGCACCTTTTCGAGTCTTTCAATCTGGGTAGCACTGACAGTGAGGATGGCCAGAGCGTATTCAATGGGTGAAAGGACTAGACCGTAGAATAGAAGTATTAGTAGTCTTTGCTCGATATTGGAAGCAGCCATAATCCTCATTGCAGATAGACCTTTGCGTGCTTTTGTTATCACATGGTCAATGTGTTCCCTGAATGACAAGCTGCGATCGAACCTCACCCCGAGAAACGTCATAACGTTGGTTCTGATCAATATATTATCACGCATTTTCACTTCTGGTAAGTCCGACTTGACAATGTGATTGTTCAAAGAGAACCATGACACTGATGCCTTCGAAGGATTGACATAGGCATTGGAACCATCACACCAGGCGGCAATTCGATCGAGTTCTTTGTGCATTGTGCTGGCGATCTCCTGTCTATCACGCCCTCGTCGATAAATCAAAATGTCATCAGCAAATGACAAAGTCCTTCCCTTTCCATTCAACTGCTGCTCAGTGATCATCACAAACGTTGAATAAGACTGGTGATAGCGGTGATCCCTGTGGCAAGCCTGGACATATCGTTTGCGGTTCTGAGGACCAGCTACCACATCTTAGTACAATCTTTCTCTGGAACAGGACCGCAGCAATCCAGCGGATCAGAATATGGTTGACTTCTAGTTTAAGCAGTAATTGCATTAAATATTCGTATGGTACTTTATTGTAGGCATCTTCTAAGTCCAACACTGCCGCACATGTCTCTTCTTTAATCTGAAATCCCTCGTACACATCGTAGGCGAAAACAGCAGCATTGAACCATGTCTCTTTCTTTAATGAATGAATGAATGAATGAATGAATGAATGAATGAATGAATGAATGAATGAATGAATGAATGAATGAATGAATGAATGAATGAATGAATGAATGAATGAATGAATGAATGAATTGGAAATTGACATCACTGCAATCTGGACATTACCACATGTGCTCCATCTCCTTTCCTTGGTTGTCAACAAAGAGTCGACATGCTAATAGTACCAGTGATTAAAGTCCATTTATGTTTCCCCTTCAATGTTGAAAATCTTCAAGAACCTCTACTCACTGCCTGTTGAATTAGACTTTCTGTGTATGGATTCTGTGTATGGATTCTGTGTATGGATTCTGTGTATGGATTCTGTATATGGATTCTGTGTATGGATTTTGTGTATGGATTCTGTGTATGGATTCTGTGTATGGATTCTCCGTCTGTTCTGCACATTTGATCCCAGAGATCCTTGACCATGTCCCCTTTATCATAAAGTAGCTTCCCCGTGTGGGTTCCAGTGCCCTGTTATAGGGAAAACAAGAATAGGCCAATGCCTAAACAAAAACATGTCGTTAGAGTATACTAATTTGGAGCCTCCTTCAGTCGGAGAGCATCTGCCTGAGAGGCAAGGAACCAGCTGTGCGTACAAATGAGTCAAATCTGTAAAACGGATGCACACGCAACACTCATGTACTGGAACAGGACTGCAGTCAGAAGTGGATGAACAACCAGAACTTTCCGCCATAGTTTACAGCTGAAGAACGTGAAGAAGAAGAAGAAAAAGTAGTTCACTGCCCAGAAGGATAGCAGCAGATAATCTTTCAGCATTTTTGTTGATATTTACAGTGGTTTGAGTGTCGAACACACCGAAAGTCATGCTCAAAATACTAAGTATAAAATTGGCTGTAAAACCACAAACAGCAAATAGGTGCTAGGATTAGTTTCTGATGATCTGTAAAGAATATACAATCAGCTATAAGAAATTTGTATTGTTTTTGTCTTCCAGATGGACAGAAGTGAGACTACAATCATGTTCAAATTGGACACTCATAGATTAGCCAAACGTTTGTGGAAAACCTGTGTAGAACATCATGCTTTTTTCAGGTGGCTTTTGTAAAATCTCATTACAATGTTTCTACTCTCATTACAATGTTTCTACTCTAAATGTTTTACCCATTTCTTGTTTTGCTTTATTCATCTTATCAGAATCATAATGGTAATACTGTAATGTATTTGTATTAGACATATATCTTATTTATTTGTTTTATCATTTCACTAAAGTTTGAGTTTGAGTGATTCTGTTGTGGGACTGGACTATCTTAGTCACATAATAACAGATGGGAAAAAGAAATCACAATAATTTGTAAGGCAAGGAAATCAACTTCCCTGCACCTGATTTGTATCCCATTAGACATGGTTCTTCTCCACAGTGGGCTGGTCATTTGCTAAAGTATTGCACATAGTACAAACTTTATCTTTAGTAAAGGATAACAAACACCCCCCCCCCTTTTTTTTCCTCTGCAGCCCAGGTATTTCAAAAATACCAGCACTTGTAAATCAAAAGGATGGAGTCTGAAATCAAACCCGGAACCTTCAGAATATGAAGCCGACTTTTTAATTACTTGATTATGAAAACTTCATGAGCAGAGAATTGAAATGGTCAAAATTGTTTCCCCTATATTTAAAATGCAATGGTCAGATACTAGTGGTGCCAGGTGTAGTTTTAGTGTGTGTCTCTCTTACTTCTCCTTTGAGATTTGAGTCTACGTTTTATTAAGAAATAAATATTTTAAACACATTACATGTATGTTTATGTTTATTCAATGGATCATGGGTTAAATCCATAAGTGCTACGTTCTACTTCTAACTCAAACCTGAGTGTGAAAAATCTCAGCGCAGTGCATGAACTTTGTTGCACCTGAGAGAATCCTGAAATACTTTGGGTAGATTTTTAACTCCAAATTTTGTCCCGGCAGCACCGTTAGGCTACTATTTCTCGATTTCCAACTATCAAGGTATTTTTTTTACATGCGCAGCAATACACACAGGCCTCCAGTCTTACTACCCAGAGACCAGGGGAAATTACTAGAAGTCCACATGAAAAAATCCTAGCCTTCACCGGTGTATGAACCCAGGACCTCCAGCCCTCCGGGCAGATGCCATATTCCGAGACCACTCAGCCCCCACATTCCGTGTATAAGATAACCCAAAGTTTTAAAATTAAAAACTTTGGAAAAACGTATTGTTCTCTACATGGAAAAATATGTTACATTTTGTCTAATCCATGGCATATGTTTGGTATTGTTAGACGTGAACAAAATACAATTAATTTAGGAAAACCCAAATACTTCCTTGCCTATATCGAGTTAAAGAGTGAAATATAGTTCTCATGCATTATTAAGCTTTAATAAGCTAACTTATTTTTGTGAAAAATTCAGACTGAGAGAGGCGGAAAAGCCGGATAATAACCTCACCTTTCCACGCTTCGGATCAAAGTTCCGCTACTCTGGCCGAACTCTGTATGAGAACAGAAACGCACCACTTGTCAACAGACCACCTCATTACTTTGATCGCCCATCACCATCAAAAAGTGGAATGAAAACCAAAGGTGGATATTCACACAGCATGGACAATGGTAAATATTTATGTCTGTCTACTTCAGTAATCCTGGCTGACATTGACCACATACCTTTTTGAGGGCCGACTCATCTGTAGAAATACAAATCTATCATCATATTCCTGATGCACTTCTGGTTTGTAAAAGTTCCTTGACTAGACTTTAATTCTTTTGTGCTCACATGTGTTCTGCAGTCCTTTTTTCAAATTTATTATACTTTATTGGTGTTGTTTTACACATGGCCACCGGCACCTCAGAGCAGGCTTACGTTTTTATTTTTTTTTTTTAGTTTTTACTTTTACATGATTGGAAGTCGCTGTGGCAGAGCGGCTAGACACTTGCCATGGATGGAAGGTCATGGGTTCACTCCCTGGCGGAGCCTAACTTTAAAAAAAAAAAGGGCCTTAGCTCCCAGGTCGACCCAGCCTTGAGTGGGTACCGGTTGCAGTCCCGGGAAGTAAAGATGGCGGTATGATGCTGTCCACATCTCCTATTTTGTTCCGATTGGTCTATAAAATGTAGGTCTGGCCCTATATGCCCTATTCACCTAAAGATGTGGAAAAAAGGGTCTTTTAATTTTTTACTTGCTACATGATTAGATCAAGAGAGTCTCGGAATGAAGAGAGGAAATATGGATCTAATTATATTTTAGCTGTATTTAAAGATATTACTTGCTTATTTTGGGAGTTTAATAGTAGTGTAGAGAACTACAGAAAAGGATTAAACTGTACATCACACGAATAGGCATTAGTAAATGAGGTGTATATGACGGAGCCAGACTTTTTACGAAAATGACCTTGGGTCGCCTGCCAACTCAGCCTTAAATGGGTACCAGGTAAAGTCCTGGGGAGTAAAGGCGGCCGGCGTGATGCTGACCACATCACCCACCAAATGCTGATTGGTTTATCAAATATAGGTCTAGCCCTATGTCCTGTACGCCTGCAGGTGTGGAAAAGGGTCCTTTACTTTCACTTAAAATATATTGAACTTGACAGTCTTTACTTGTACAATCTTATGCAGTTAATATATCGGCTGTGCAGTATTGACTCTTCTTCTTCTTCTTCACTTCCTCTTTTACCACTGTGGGTGTCAAGGGAGATATAAGGTTCTGTTTTTAGCTCTTCTGGCTGCCTCGACCATAGGCACATCGTGCTGTTGTAGAGTTTCTCTGATGTTATCCTTCCATCTTGTTCTTGGTCTACCCCGTGCTCTACGTCCTTCTTCTCTTTCCATGTATGCTTTGTATGGTATGGTGTCACAAGGCATTCTCTCTAAGTGGGCAAACCATTTCACTTGCTGTCTTTTATGTAATCCAGAATTGGTTCTGTGCCGACTTGTTCTCTTATGATCTCATTCTTGATCTTATCTCTTATTGTATTGACTAACCAAACATTACTGATAGTTGAAATACAAACAACGTTATACATCAAAATTATTACCCGATGGGTTGAACAGAATATTGTTTTATTTACTACTACTAATATCAATATTTAGAAAAATATAGCAGCAATTTTTTATGAGAAAAAGAATATGTTTGAGATCCGTTTCCGCTACCCTGCACTGAAGGGCTGGCATTGGATTGGGATTGATTGGTTAACCATGTACAGTCTGCCTTTGCATGTATTGTCATGGTGTTCAATCTTGATTCATATTAACTGTCTTAGCCCCAAACATACCTGTTCTGAATTTTGTATCAGAGTCTGAAAATGGGCAGAATGAGTTAATGTTCCATTGGATTGGGATTGATGATATCTGAGAACAAATGACACACTTTAGATCAGGGCTGTCATGCTGATTAGAGCAATAATGGTTCTGAAATCCCCTGCTCTAATTGTGGAAGAATTTACTTAACGTGGGCGGGTCGTCCAAGCCACACTCGTCATCGCCATGGCCTGTGATTCCATGCCTCCTCAAAGCATAGTATAATACTGTTGTCTGTAAAGATTTACAGGTTATTGAATGTTGAATTAAGAATTGACATCATAGCACTCAGGGCACTCCCATAAGTGCTCCATCCCCCATCTTCAACAGCAAGTGAAGAGTTCCAATTCTGATGGTACCAGTAACTGTCTGATTGTATATCCATCTTACCCTTCCCTTGAGTGTTGAGCCTCGGTCAGATTCCCTGGCAACTCCTCGCAGCGCCATTCTCCTCACACCCTAATGATCTGTTTGTGCCTCTACACTGTTCACTCACTCTCAAAGGGCCATAACAACATCTGGCTTGTCATATATTAATTCACCATGGTTGCAGAATGGATTATGACTGGGGTTATCCTCACGGCACTCCGGACGCATCCATAGATTCTCAGATTCCCATTTCAACATAAACATCAGCGTCCTGCGGTAAATAGCGCCAGTTCTGGGCTGTTTATCAAGACTTTTTATGTATCGGGTGTGCCTCTCATGCTTGGCTGTGCAGATCTTTACTTCCACTTCTTACATTCTTAGCAATGATGTGGTACGCTGCCACAAAAGTCCTTCAATCCTTCTATCTCTCTAAGGGCAATAAAAATGTTGGCACTATCCCTAGGCAGCTAAGGCAGAACCGAACAGTCTGTCATCTCTTTCATTGCCCCCCATTTTCTTAATATAAAATTTGGTTGCCATTTGTTGGCCTTGGAATTTCCCCCATAAAATTTAGTTGCCACAATCGAGTTTTTAAGGATGCCATTTTTCTGTCCCAGGACATTTAAAAAAAATAACTTCAAGTTGGTAAAAACATTATCCAGTTCAAGAACACTGAAACAATTAATTAAAATTTAGTCTCCTCATTTTTTGAATACTGGAAGACTCAGTTGTTAATGCTCAGATGCATTCATGACTGATTGTTTTTCTACTGATTCATTAAGAAAATGGAAGAATTGTTAAAAACATTAATAGTTGTATTATCAGAAAAAAAAAGAGATTTTCTTGGGTGAATATTTTCATATTATTTTCAATTGAAATTTTTTTTTTTTTTGGCAGCTAAAGCAAAGTATGCAAGTACTGATGCAGACAGTTGGAATACACTTGATGATGGTGGATACAAGAAACATCCAGATTCTAAGTTTGGTGGCAGTAAAACCAGCCTGCCAAGTCAAGGGGTAGGTTCAAGTCGTCGGTTTTCATTTTCTGTTGTTATTGTAGGGAGGAGTTTGCAAGGAATTATGTACATTAAATAGAGGGAAACCTAAGTTCTGGAACTGAATTCATACCTTAAAGTTGTACAATACTTTATGCCTAAAACTATACAAAAGTAATCACGTTTATGTAATCTCATAAAAATTTTTCTATAACCAAGCCTCTGTCTCGCTTAACATCTCCATTGAGATTTCTTTTTTTGGGGGGCCTGCTTTTCTAAAATCTCTCCGGAATGAGACATATCAATGAAAAGACGCCATGGTCTAGTGGCTAGACACACAACTTCAGATTAGAAGGTCCTGGGTTCAGATATGACCTTGGCTCACAGGTCAACCCAGCCTTGGATGGGAACGTCCTGGTAAGTAAAGGTGGCCAGCATAATGCTAACAACATCACCCACCAAGTGCTGTTAGGTCTTATAAATTTATGTCTAGGCCTATATACCCCATTAGGCTAAAGGTGTTGAATAGGGTCCTTTACTTTACTATATCAATGAAAATTTAAATTCTCAATGCTTTTATGAAGGAAGTATGGAGGAGGGTTGATAGCATAAGTATAAATTTTAAGGAAGGTAAGCAATGAGACCTGGTTTTTGTAAATTAAATAATCTGCCATGAAATCCTTGTTGGGTTTTGTTCTCTTTTGTCTGTCAGCCTATTTACACCATTCAGCTTTGCTTAAAACTTAGCTTCTGTCTCACTAAACATCTCCATTGAGACTTCTTTCTCAAAATTTAGCTTCTGTCTCACTAAACATCTCCATTGAGACTTCTTTCTCAAAATTTAGCCCCTGTCTCACTAAACATCTCCATTGAGACTTCTTTCTCAAAACTAAGACTCTGTCTCACTAAACATCTCCATTGAGACTTCTTTCTTTGCCTGCTTTTCCAAAAATCTCTCCAGAGTGAGACATAGCAATTACAGTACAAGCCACATTAACAATGCAGTTTGCTGCAGCTTTATCAGATTGGTATCTTGCTTCAGTCCTTGCACCTTACCCCATTTCCCACACATTTAGTTGAGCAGAAACTAGGAACATTCTCCCTTCCTCCCACTGTTCTTGAGATTTTCTTCTCCTGCTAGGCTGTTCTTATCTGAAGGTGTGTCATTTCTTTTGTGATGAGCTCTTTCGTGTAGTCCTAAATCTTCCGCATCAGCTCTGCCAACTTCTAAGCTGCTTTCCCCCAGAAATTATGTCTACTGCACAATCTGGCCACAGTTATCTCCAGGTTGTATTCATGGTCCTGAAGGTCACTTGCTCATTCTGGCCAAGATTTGTCAAGAATGTTTATACAGTGGAGGATAATGAAGTCTTCTTCATGCGTTTTGTTTGCACGTCCATTTTACAGATCTTGCTTATTGGTTTGCAGACTTAGTTACTTGCCTCTCAGGTAGATGTACTCTGTCTTCGAAGAAAACCACCAATAGCTGACTCTTATGATATGCTTCTTAAGGAGGCACTGGGTGTATTTTTTTCCCCCACCCCACAATTGGGCGCAAGAACCCACACAGGAAAATGTTCCATCCAGTTAGTCATATCTTCACACTGAAGGGTGGCTACAGTAGATCTATGACTTGCTCTATATATCTAACTAGTTATTGACCTATGCTGTCTTTCTTTGCCACTAGAGATGAGAAGGAGAATTCTCAAGAGCTGTAAAAATCATATCCTGATATACTAAAATGAAACATGGCGGAGGCGGAGATGTGCTTTTATAAATGAATGATGAGAACACCCTGGATAGATAAAAAAAAAAGAGATGTCTTAAAAGAAATTATTATAGCCTGGAGAGAATGAGACACCTGGGTGTAACCAAAGGGTCAAGCCGGATCTCTGCACTCAGTAAGGGCAAGACGGACTTTTAACCACATTGTGACCGGTACCATCAGTATTGGAACTCTGCACTGGCTGCTAAAGATGAGGACGGAGCATGCATGGAAATGCCCCGAGTACTGTGATGTCAATTCTTGACTCAACTCAACTCAACTCTTGAAAGAAATTTATTCAAGAAGAGAACTGATAGCTCACATCTGCATTGTTTTTTATCATGGCGTGAGAAAAAGAAAACAAGTTCATGGTGATGGTGGAAAATTTTAAGGGGAAAGAGTCAGATGGAGTCCGAGAGAGGGGATGCCGAACCGTTTGACATCATGGCATGAAAGATTATCTGTATCAAAACTGTTTGAAAGTACATAGGACAGAAGGTTGTGGATAGACATAGCTACCAACACTTGTGGCATGAACTATAAAAAGAAGGACACTACTCAAACTGATGTTTATCCATCTCTTGATGTTATACTGCCACTTATGTCACTGTGTACCTCTTGCTCATCTACGTTCCACTTTTCTTCTCCAACTGTTTTTATGAGTCTTATAATTAAGTGTAAAATATTTCACATGCTCTTTGTTTTTCTTTCAACTACTCTCTTTTCATTCTTTTTATCTTCAGGGATTATGTGTTTTATTCTTCTTGTTTTATCTTAAAGTTGAAAATGTTTGGATGAAACCAGTACTTAACTGCATCAAGAGACAACAGAACAGGTGGTTTGGACATGTGTCAAGCTAACACCAGATAGTGCAGGGTACAGAGAGCTATGTCAGTTAGACATAATGGAAGCAGAGCTAAAGGTCAAGCAGGCAAATAGTATATAGATGGAATATATGATGTTGTAAATACCGGCATCTACATAGCACAAACCAAAGTTGCAGATGATGCCTCTTCAAAACCTGGCGCTGAAATGCAAAACAGGACAAGAGAAAAAGAGAAGAAGAAATGTTATAGTATTAATTATATGTTAACAATAAATATCCTGTCTTCTTTTCATCAAATAATACTTAACCCGAAAAATGTCTGATTGCAGGACTCTACATTAGAACGTGACAAAGTTCAAGGTCATGGCGATTTCATGAATCTAACTGCTGGAAGCATTGGAGATAATGAGGATCCTGACTCAGCCAGAGAACGGAGGAGGAAAGAAAAAGAAAATGACAGGAAACGGAGAGAAGAAGCTGAAGAAAGACGAAAGAGGGAGCAGGAGAGAAAGAATAAGGGCTTGACTGCATCAGAAGACAAAATAGACCAACTTGTAAGTTTGACCTGAAAGAAGATTTAGCTTGTGAAGCTAAAGATCCTAGTTAGACGACAGTGTAATTAGTTGTATGAATTTCAAGTTTTAATGATTAGAATATTGATGTTGTTAAGACCAAAATTAAGTTTATCTGATAGAGAGATTGATGTAATTACTCAAAAATAAACAAAAATCCAGTTTAGAAAATTAAGGCATTTGAGCTAGTCATGTTTCTTCATCATCATCATTCTTTCATGCAATTATGTGTCATATAGGGCTCGCAGTGTGTTTCTTTATTCTGTTCTGGTGGGTGTCAAATTTACATGTTGCTGGTAAAAAACCTTACACTAGGATTGTGCATGCTGTTTAAGAGTGAAGTGTGTGTGTATATACTGTGTGATCCATCAGACAGTATAAACAAGATCAGTTCTTGAAGTTTCTGTTATATTATTATTATTATGTTTCCCTAGGGCCTTGTAAATGCCACACAGACTTCACATGGTGTTCGTCCGGGATCTGCCTCTATTCAGAGTGTAAGTTGTCTTTGGTTTGAAGTCTGTGTCTTATAGCGGTCATGCATGCATTGTTGTGATGTGTTTCACATTTGTATATATAAATTTTTTTTTTCAGGTGACACAAATGTGTCTTGCCAAAAAACGTAGATGTCAGTTCCTACAGTATCCATCCTGAAAACATTATGTTTTACTGAAGGGTTGTAAAAAATAAGTTTGCAAAGTGACTAGTGGGATTATATAATAGAATAGGAATGTATGACTTGAGCCAGAGAATTTTTTAAATGTAACAATGAAAGAATAAGTACTTGGGTACAAACTGTAACTAGTTCAGCATACAAAAAGGAGAAATACGATATAGCATCCAATCAGGAAATAAAGTATACTATGCCCTGCAACATCTACAATCACTATGTTCAATAACACCAAAATCACAGTTTATAAATAACTATTAAGACCATTTGTACTATATGGCTGTGAAAACTGGAGGACAACTCAAAGTGACGAAGCCTTATTACAAACTTTTGAGAACATCAGAGTTGCAAACAGTGGAGAGTGAGAAGCAACAATGAAATTCATAATCTATTTAAAGTACCACTAATTACTGCCATCATGAGGGCTAATTTACTGTAATGGAATATATAGAGAGTATGGCAGATAACAAAGAGCTGACCAAGAAGATGGAATTACAATGTCACCAACGGGAAAGAGAAGACAGATCATAGAGGTAACTGGAGGTGGGCAATATCTGTAGCAATGAACCTCAAGGGCTCAGAATTCTACAGAAACACAGTGAATAGATGTTTCAAAGACTGATGGCGCTGACTCGGGATGTTTTCACATTTGTTCTGTCCCTTTCTTTGGCAGTCAGTGAAGAGTTCCCATACTATTGGGCAACCTAATTTTCCTTATTATTCTGTTCAGAACATTGGATAATTACTCATTAATTTAATCCCCCCAGGTAATTTGTCTGTACTGTGGAACTTCACTGTGTTTGCCTTTAAAAGAGATGTTGACACAATATCTTTTGGTTTACAGCTATATCTGTACCTTTTGGCCCATTACATTAGACTTCAGCAAATCCTTAATTAGTTGCCCTCTACAGCATGCTTTGGGGTGAAAATACAAATGCTAACCTACACAATTTGTGGCAACAGCATTAGCCATGCAACCCTAAATCTTATCTTCAGACTGAAGACCCCCTGTCCTACCTTGTCCTAAAAATGTGTTAAATACAGGCAGTAATCATTTTTTTTTTACAACATGCTTGTTAAAGTACTGTGGGTCTATATATCCCCCCCCCCCCCCCCCCCCCAAATGGGCCTCAAAACCCACAAAGGGAGTTCTGTAGAATGATCCAGATTGCTTTTACCACATCCACATCATAAAATAGCTTGCCACCCAGTGGTGTGGAGGCAGCCACCAAATCATCCTGCTCATTCCCTCACTAATGAAAGATCATTGACCAGGACTCCTACCTCAGTGGAGCATAAAATTGCTACAAAGAAATTTCCTTAGAAATAAAGGTGATTGCAGTGATGATGGTCACATGACACATTGAGTTCCTGTTGAAATATGGATCTAGCCTATTTTGCATAATGCTGATAAAAACGGAGGTCTTTTAGGGTTCGGCGACCCTATAGATACTAAGTTTTCTGCTGCATTAGAGATGGGGGGGGGGGGGGGGGGGGGGGGGGGTGTGTGGATCAGTATGCTGCTAGGGTGTCAATAAAGACAAAAATTAACAAATTTCACTTTTTTACTTTATTCATTGCCTCACATAACATAAAGTCCTAGGTAAAATTCCATGAAATATTCCTGCTCCGTAATATGATAACAGTGACAGATGTACAGTTGAAATCTAGTTTAAAAAAAAGATAGAAAAAGCCAAGTTGTATTCCACAACATGTGAAATATTCTTTAAAGAAAACAGTTTCATTGACCATTAACATTAAGAGCCATCATAGCCTAGGGTAAATCTGTGTAATATTCTGTTAGAAAACATTCACATACAAATATGAATCTATAGTAAATGAGGCAAATGTGGAAGGACAAAAAAAAAGGGTGGGGGGGGGGGGGGGGGGTAATCTCAAAACCAAAAACTAGGAAGGAAAAATATTTTTTCATTGAGATCAATATTTAAAAAAAAAAACAGTATTTTAATATTTTCTATGTATGTGAAATCGACTACGCTGACAGCCATGTTTGAGAAAGCAGTTGAAAGCAAGCACACATGAGAAATTAAAGATAACATTAAAAGTTAAGTCAAAAGTTGTTAATTCCATTAAGACAGCAAAAGAGGCTGACTTTTGTAGTCAACTTTTCCTGCTAAGATAGCAACAAATGTGATCTAATGTATCAACAGAGCCTGCACTGTTGCGCTTTGCATTATTGGAAATCACAAATGCTGCACTTTCTTTGAAATAAATAAATGTACTTTTTGAAACATGCTGTCTTCTTGCAGTAGTTTTAATAATAGCAGTGCATCACGCAATCAGCATCATTGCACAGCTGCATTTGCATGGCATATTCTGGCAATTCTTGCAAACATTTTAGATGATTTCATTGTTCTTCATCATCAGATAGCAAGTCCCTTGCAGTATTGTTTACTTTATGGTCCACTAGAAAGACTGACTTTTAATCTGATGAAAGTTCTCCTGCTTCCTGCATTTTCATGTCCTGTGCCCACCTTTTTGTTATTTTTTGGGGGGTTTACCCCTGCCTGTTTTCAGGAGCAAGTCTTTCTATTGTTTGTTTTTTCTTCTAGAAATTACCACTTCATATGGTCTTATATTTCATTCTGTGAGATATAAAACAGAGCTAACTGAATTGCACATTTAATATATTAGTGATGTTTTTTTATGGGCTTATCTTTCAGTTTGGCTCTACTTGCTTTATTGCAATTATCACTTTATTGCTGTCATATTTTTCTGTGTTTGACTTTCAAAAGGTAATTTTTCAGTTTGTTGTGGTTTGCAGCTATGCTGTGATATCTGCATCGTTTGTCTCAGCACATCCGTGCATGCTTGTATGTGAGAGTAAATGAGAATGCGACTGACTGGTTGAACAAGAACTCCTCTGAAATGTTAGTTTTTCATTAAAAAACAAATTGTGATAATTTCAAATAATTAATTACTGTGAGCAAAATCTAATTACGTACCATACTGAAATGCTTTGGAAACAATCCACCAGATCTTTACCTAAATGAACTGGAATGTCTTTGTTTTATCAAGTCACGTGTTAGATATTTAATTTTAGTGCATGTTTTTTAAATGTTACTGTTATTGCATACATTAATTTGTATCTTATTCGTATGTGCCATCAGTACAGCCTATTCCCTTGGGTTTGAATCATTAAAAAAAGTAACTGCAATTTGGAAATAAATAAAAAAAATTGTAGCAAAACAAGCATAATGCAGTAAACACTACATGTGTTTATGAATTTAAACATTAGCAGATGTAACAAATTAATGAGTAATGTGAAAGTCATCTAAACTGGCCAGTGACATAACAGTTGATACAACTGTTTATTATGGCCAACGATAGAATTGAGAAGCTCAGGGATGTTGGCTAATAATGGTGCAATAAATGAAGCTGAATATTGATACCTTGTCTTATCAATAAGTTTAGTTTATTTTGCTGTATTTTGTTTGTTTACTTTTTGTAATTTATGCTCACTCAGATATATGTTTGTTATACGTTTAATTTCTTTATTGATTGATAATTTTTACCTTATTTTAGGGTACAGATGAGAAGCTCAGTCCTTATGGGCCCCCATACGGAAAGGATGGATACAACAAACATGGCTATGATAGGGAAGGTTATGACAGAGATGGCTTTGATAAGGATGGATATGACAGATGCGACAAGGACATCAAAGGAAGAGAGAAACCATACATGGGACCTTTTGGTAAAGATGGGTTTAACAAAAATGGATATGGACCAGATGGTTATGACAGAGATGGCTATGACAAAAATGCCTTCGACGGGGATGGCTTCAATAAAAGAGGACGCCAGAACCCATATGGACCCCCGTATGATGAGTATGGTTTCAATGAAAATGGTTTCAACAAGCATGGTCTCGATCCAGATGGGTTCGACAAAGATGGTTATGATAAAAATGATGTTGACAGATATGGCAGGAAAAACCCATATGCTCCTCCCTATAATAAAGATGGCTACAATGAAAATGGTTTTGACAAACATGGTTTTGATAGAGATGGTTTCGACAAGGATGGTTTTGACAGAGACGGTTATGACAGACTGAAGAGAAAGAGTCCTTATGGTCCACCTTATGGAACTGATGGTTACAACAAAAGTGGTTATGACATGGACGGTTATGACAGAGATGGATATGATAAGGATGGATATGACAGATACAACAATGACATCAAAGGCAGACAAAAACCATACATGGGACCTTTTGGTAGAGATGGTTTTAACAAAAATGGATATGGCCCAGATGGATTTGACCGGGATGGCTATGACAAAAATGCCTTTGACAAAAATGGGTACAGCAAAAGACGAAGGCAGAATCCATATGGGCCTCCATATGACAAATACGGCTTTAATGAAAATGGCTTTAATAAGCATGGTCTTGACCCAGATGGGTTCGACAAAGATGGTTATGATAAAAATGATGTTGACAGATATGGCAGGAAAAACCCATATGCTCCTCCCTATGATAAAGATGGCTACAATGAAAATGGTTTCGACAAACATGGTTTTGACAGAGACGGTTATGATAAGGATGGTTTTGACCAAGATGGTTATGATAGACTGAGGATAAAGAATCCATATGGTCCTCCCTATGGCAAAGATGGTTACAACAAAAATGGCTATGACATGGACGGTTATGACAGAGATGGATATGATAAGGATGGATATGACAGATACAACAATGACATCAAAGGAAGAGAGAAACCGTACATGGGACCTTTTGGTAGAGATGGTTTCAACAGGAATGGATATGGTCCAGATGGTTATGACAGAGATGGCTATGACAAAAATGCCTTCGACAGGGATGGCTTCAATAAAAGAGGACGGAAGAACCCATATGGACCCCCGTATGATGAGTATGGTTTCAATGAAAATGGTTTCAACAAGCATGGTCTTGATCCAGATGGGTTCGACAAAGATGGTTATGATAAAAATGATGTTGACAGATATGGCAGGAAAAACCCATATGCTCCTCCCTATGATAAAGATGGCTACAATGAAAATGGTTTCGACAAACATGGTTTTGACAGAGATGGTTTCGATAAGGATGGTTTTGATAAAGATGGTTATGACAGACTGAGAATAAAAAGTCCATATGGTCCTCCTTATGGCAAAGATGGTTACAACAGAAATGGCTATGACATGGATGGTTATGACAGAGATGGATATGATAAGGATGGGTATGACAGATACAACAATGACATCAAAGGCAGAGAGAAACCGTACATGGGACCTTTCGGTAGAGATGGTTTCAACAGGAATGGATATGGTCCAGATGGTTATGACAGAGATGGCTATGATAAAAATGCCTTCAACAGGGATGGTTACAGCAAAAAGGGAAGACAGAACCCATATGGACCCCCGTATGATGAGTATGGTTTCAATGAAAATGGTTTCAACAAGCATGGGCTCGATCCAGATGGGTTCGACAAAGATGGTTATGATAAAAATGATGTTGACAGATACGGCAGAAAAAACCCATATGCTCCTCCCTATGATAAAGATGGCTACAATGAAAATGGTTTCGACAAACATGGTTTTGACAGAGATGGTTATGACAAAGATGGTTTTGACATAGATGGTTATGACAGAGTTGGAAACAAAAGTCCTTATGGTCCACCCTATGGACGAGATGGTTACAACAAAAATGGCTTTGACGGAAATGGCTTTGACAGAGATGGCTTTGATAAAGATGGCTACAGTAGAGACGGAACAGAGAGGTCAGAGCAGCTGCTTAAATTGGACACCACAAAGGTTATTATTTCCCCTTTTATTATCTCCCCTCTATTTAACCAGTATTTAGCAGGGTTGTACTGTCAGAGATTAGTACTGTCAGAGATTAGTACTGTCAGAGATTAGTACTGTCAGAGATTAGTACTGTCAGAGATTAGTACTGTCAGAGATTAGTACTGTCAGAGATTAGTACTGTCAGAGATTAGTACTGCCAGAGATTAGTACTGTCAGAGATTAGTACTGTCAGAGATTAGTACTGTCAGAGATTAGTACTGTCAGAGAATAGTACTGTCAGAGATTAGTACTGTCAGAGGAATGTATGGATCAGTTATATCAGGAAGCAGAGAAAACGTATATTTTACATTGATTAACATTGTTATAATCTGATTTTTAGAAGAGAAAAAACCTACAAACATTTTATGTTAGGGTAAACTCAAAATTAACAGGAAAGCAATGAAAAAGGTCATTAGTCACCTTATGATGCCGGTGTCTAGCATATGTTGAAGATAAAGACCTAGGCACTGCTGTTATGTTGAAGATATAGACCTAGGCACTGCTGTTATGTTGAAGATATAGACCTAGGCACTGCTATGACAATTTATCCAAGATGAGTAACTTTACAGCATTATAAAAAATATTCAGAACTTTCTACAACTGGGGGCATTGAAATGTGTATACCATGAAAGCAACAAGAGGCTATCAATGAAAACAAAACTATTATTACACATACTTTCTAACTCAACTATATTTATTTAGTGTATAATTTTATCTGAATATTTTATCATCATTCATTATCTTTGAATTTCTTTTACATTTTAGATGTGCATTCTTTCCATCTTTTATTAACATTATTCAGTAGATGTACATTATGTTTTAAATGTCTGTTATTTTATCCTAATAACATTACTCAGTGGCTTTGTATTTATATTTAATTTTAGATGTCTCCTGTATTCAGTTTAATACATGCTTAATGGTTGCATAGCACCAAAATTTCAGTTACCATTTTTAGAAAATTTATACTTTAATATTTTATCCTAATACATAATACACAGACCCACCAGCAACTACTAAATTGCAGTTTAACACCTGCTTATTCCATTTATTAAGTGCCACTGTGGTGTTGGGGCTAAATGCTTGCTTGTGGATTTAAAGGTCATGGGTTCAAATCCACTTGGAGCCTGATTTTCCACTAAAACAAGACCATGGTTTCTAACCCTAAACGAGTAAGAAGTAAAGTCCTGGGAAGTAAAGGCAGCCAACCCGATGTTGACCATGTCACCCATCAAGATCTGATTGGTCTATAAAGGTATTAGTCTAGCCTCATATGCCCGTGTAAAGGGACCTTTACCTTTTTCTTCCATTATCAACTCTTTCAGTTCCAACTAACTCTTTGTGTGTGATTTAGTTTTCCTCTTGAATCTCAGCCATTGCATAATTTGTTCTATTACTTTTTACATATGGTCTGATCATTCATTTGAAATCTGGCTTCCCTAGTGGTCAACTTCACTTTGTTTACTATCAGCCTCTTAAAAAAAATTGTTTACTTTTAGTTGTTAACCCTGTCCACCAGAGAAGATTAACTCTAGTCACTTCCAGTTGTGACACAGTCCTGTAAATGCTAATATATCACCATGTCAGCAGCGAGCTTAAACAGCATAGTTAAAGTCCATTGGTTGTGTGTAAATCTGCATAGTGTTTGATAGGCCAGGATATGAAGATATCCTAGCATTTATTGGCATTATCTTATGACCTTTATTGATTTTAAATGTTCCCATAAGCCTCAGTGATTAAGGTCACTGGGTCACTGCATGAGTCACCTTGATACATTTTTATTTTAGGCCCAGGGAAATTTATTCTGTTTAATGATTCACTCTGTTCATGTTTACAGATTACCCTTGTGTCTGTGTATATATATACATATATATATACACACACACACACTCATACTCATATATGTTTAGATATTTCGAGAAAAAAAATATGTAAAATTTAGGTAAATAAATTTTTGTACATTTATTAATGAAATGTGTCACACTGCTGTTTTCTTTTTAAAAATAATTTTACTAAAAATTCCCACAGTTTCATAAGCATCAAATTTTTTAAAGCATTGCAAGGAAAAGGGTTGTTATTTATCCCCCCCATCCCCCGAAAATAATTAAGGTAATACCATGGCAGATACTGTTGCAGGTGTATGGTGTGACAGTTTTTCTGACATGCTAGTTCATAGAGTGATTACTTTGGAAGACTTCTTTCCCTCAAAAACTTTACTAGAGAAAGTCTTTCATCAGGGTTACAATTTTAGATCATATCAAGAAGCATAATTTAAGCAATGAGGTACCATCTCCACACTGAAGGTTGGCTGCAGTTGATCTCTGACACAACGTGACTCTTGTCTTGGTTGCACACTCTCCCAAACTTATGTCAGTTAACATTTCTTTATTACCTCTACAAAGCTTCCATTTATGTATGCAGCATTATGTATTGCTTTTTTCGTTTTTTCATAGTTTTATTAACTTGTCTTTGTTTTTGGGCTCTTCATATATTAAAACTATTAAGATGCCTAAAATTACTTAATCTTTTAACAGTTCCAGCTTTTATACTAACTCATCCCTTGATTTATGTTATGTTTAATCTAGCACTTAATTTTGTGGTATCGGTTTCATTCAAGTTCAGAATTGCGATTTTCTTCTCATATTTTTTTCAAAGCTACATCAGTGACAAAATGCAGGTTTTTTCCCCCCCCAGTCACAGATGAATGAAAACTACTACAGGACATGTTATTTTAATTGACTGTAATCCTGTTGTTTTAAGTGTGGGATATTTTCACTGACAGTTATCAGCATAAACTTGTTATTTTCATAAGCTAGAATTCTTTTCTAAAATAAATTGTAATACACCATTGGCCATAATATTGTCAGGGTTCAAAATCAGTAGTTATAGTGGTCACTGGGGATGCTTTTAATGATTTCACTAAGCATACATTAAATTTGAACAAAGAAGACATAAACAGTGGATTGCAAGTTGGAACTAGTAACAAACTCAGGCCCAGCACTGCCCATCTACACACTAGCTGACCTGTCATTGATGTGAGGCTGGTCTATTTTAGAGAGGTGTAGAATACACTCTCTCATCATACCTACATTCAGTAGGGGGTGAGGGGGTTAGGGCCAGTTGTACACGTTATGGGTTTGTTAAAACCGCTCACATCCTGTAATATAGAGCACGCATTGTTGCCTGTTAGACTGTTGAGACAGTACAGTGTACACCAACCTGACATCCCTGTCACTTAACTCTTTGAGTCCCAAGGAACGCAATACGTTCATAGGTTACTGACTAGAAGCCCAATGAACACATGATGTGCTGATTTTACGTCTCTCTTGACTACCCCTTGGGCCTGTGATGCTAAACCCTCTGGGACTCAAAGAGTTAAACTTACGCATCTCAGAGGTTATCACGCATGAATGAACGTCCAACTGCAGTGTCCTGGCCTGAGTTCATTACATGTTCCTGCAAGATTTATTGCTTGGCATAGTCTGCTGTTTCTTGTCAGGTGCCTACTACATTAATAACTAAAAAAAAAAAAAAAAGCTAGTTGCAGATCAACCCCAGTATGTTTCTGCTGTTTATGATATTGCTAGGCAATTACATTTCTTTCTAAATAGTCTGCTCTCTATTCCACTCGCTAAGCTAATACAAAGTTGTCTGCTGCCAAATTGCCTGCATCTAGGAAAGAACCTGGCACCTCAGCGTTATGGAGGTGTTTGCAATGCCTAAGCCACAGACAATTGAATAAATTGATAATTTAATAAAATTAGGCATTCGAATGAAATTCTTACAACTGAAGTACAATTGTTCAAATTCACAATGAGGAAACATGCTTTTGATTTTCTGTAAAATAATTAAGTGTTAAAAAAAAATTATTTTACTGTACAATCAGTGTATAAGTTATTCAGAGACAATTATATTACTAGTATTGTGATACCATTACATTACACACCAACAGGTGTGAGACAAATATATTAATAGTACCATGAGACTATTACATTACTAGCACTCTGAGACAATTACTTTACTCATATTATGACACATTACATTGCTGGTATTATAAGACCATTACATAGCTACTACTGTGAGACCGCTACATTACGTTTTTGATGAAACTGAAATTATTTAGGTTCTGAAATCGAAATTATTAGTGCTTCAAGACCACTGCACACAAATACTATAAAACCATTAAATTCTGGTGCTCTGAGACCATTACATTACTAGTGCTCTGAGACAATTACATTGCTAGTGCTCTGAGACCATTACATTACTAGTGCTCTGAGACCATTACATTACTAGTGCTCTGAGACCATTACATTACTAGTGCTCTGAGACCATTACATTACTAGTGCTCTGAGACAATTACATTGCTAGTGCTCTGAGACCATTACATTACTAGTGCTCTGAGACCATTACATCACTAGTGCTCTGAGACCATTACATCGCTAGTGCTCTGAGACCATTACATCGCTAGTGCTCTGAGACCATTACATTACTAGTGCTCTGAGACCATTACATCACTAGTGCTCTGAGACCATTACATTACTAGTGCTCTGAGACCATTACATTACTAGTGCTCTGAGACCATTACATCACTAGTGCTCTGAGACAATTACATTGCTAGTGCTCTGAGACCATTACATTACTAGTGCTCTGAGACCATTACATCACTAGTGCTCTGAGACCATTACATCGCTAGTGCTCTGAGACCATTACATCGCTAGTGCTCTGAGACCATTACATTACTAGTGCTCTGAGACCATTACATCACTAGTGCTCTGAGACCATTACATTACTAGTGCTCTGAGACCATTACATTACTAGTGCTCTGAGACCTTTACATCACTAGTGCTCTGAGACCTTTACATTATTGGTTCATAAGATTGTGAAATGACAAGTTTTCTGAGAATATGTGATTTTGTTTGTTTCTGTAACAGGGTCCTGTGGGTCTGGCTTTGGGCAAAGTTGACACGACGGGTGTTGTCGGGGAAGAGAAGACTGTGGACAACAAAGTCGAGTTTTTGCCAATATCCAATCCTGTCAAGGTTAGTTAATCTGTCTGTCTTACAGATGAGGGATTAAGTGTGGGTCCGACAAGGATGAGAAGAAGAGGGAAAGGAGAGACAGATGAGAGGAAGAGGGAAAGGAGAGACGGATGAGAGGACGAGGGCAAGGAGGGATGGATGAGAGAAAGAAGGCAATGAGGGAGGAGGAGAGGAAGAGGGCAAGGAGGGATGGATAAGAGGAAGAGGGCAAGGAGGGATGGATGAGAGGAAGAGATCGGCAATGTGTATAATCAGTGTGCTATGGAAACAGTTAGCATTACACCTTGAGACATTCGCTGCGGGAGACGGAGCATCTATGGGTATGCCTGGTGTGCTATGATGTCGATTCTTCAATCAGTAATCTCAAAGAGTACATTTTTATACTTTTGCAGTGTTTCTTTTACTTTGTTCCTCATTTTAGTTCTTATTTTTCTGACACATTAGGTGGTTTGTTTATGCATTATTAAGATCAGCCAATGCCTGGGCTTAAGGCTGTTAATACAGTTGCACAATCCCAGAATACCAGGATTCTAAGTTAGCTACAGGTGATTGAATAGCGAACTGCTATATGTGATTTAGGCAATTGTACGATGGTGATACCATACAGAAAATAATCTCAAACTCATCATCATCATTTAGTAGGTCCTTTGCAAAACGTCGCTCTCCTCACAGTCTGCCTGAAAAAAACACCTGTCTCTTGCTAGCTGTCCCACCTCATACACTTTCATATCCAAGAGGTCACTTATATACTCTGCCTATTTTCATGTTTGTCAGCCCCTGGTACCATGCCTTCTGCTATTATTTTTTCCCCCCAGCCTGTCATGACACATCAAATGGCCAAGATATTCATCAAATGGACCTTAAAATTATGGGTCAGTGTCCCACACATGCCAGATATGTAAAAAGGTCCTTTACTGTGTACCTTTTAACATGAGGAAATTCACTTTTATTTGACCATTTGCCATCCTTCAACTTGTATTTAGTCCATTTAACAATATACATGTAATTTATAACATCAGTGAATTGACTCCAACTCACTATTTCTACATCCAGCTCAACATCAGGAATGAATTCAGTTTTGTTATTTTTCTCTGTATAGGGAAGCAAAAACAGTATTAAACCATATTCAGACAGTACTTTGCCTTACTTCAATCCACTCTCAACAAGTACTGTTGGCAGGAGCAAAGTGCCTCCACCTGTGCCTCCTAAAAAGAGCCACGGATTAGATGACAGTTTTAGGGTAAGTTTGGTTAGAGGTATAGCCTGTTTCATTGTCTTTGTACTTTCATCATCCTGAACTTTATTTTCCTACTTTCACATCTCAGCTTTCTCTACCCTTTCAGTCATAAACAAGACATGATATGATGTCATTAGGTTTTAAACTTCAATCCTAAACATCAGATAATATGCTGTCTTTTTTTTAAACAATTGGTCAGAGCAAATTAAAAAAAAAGAAATGTGGCTTTCTCAGTAGCCACGTCCACAGTGTATTTTTATTTGTCAAAGTTTCACATTTATTAGATTTCATAGCAGTTTTATGCCTCCTGAGCATCAGCTGACAAGATCTGGCACTGTAAAAGACCCACCTTTTATATTCCACTGAGATCTAGACTGTCCATGTTTCTGTGCTCTGTTAGTATTCTTTTTTAAATGATATATTTAATTTACATGTTATGTTTTTGTTTTATTTATTTTAAAACAAAGGGTGGCTGGGGGCAGAAATGCCTGTATGCCAAAGACAGGCATTATAACAACCAAGACAGGCATTATAACAACCAAGACAGGCATTATAACAACCAAGACAGGCATTATAACAACCAAGACAGGCATTATAACAACCAAGACAGGCATTATAACAACCAAGACAGGCATTATAACAACCAAGACAGGCATTATAACAACCAAGAATTGCCTCTCTTCTTTGGAAGCAGACACTAGTTTGGAAAAACAAAGAGTATTAACTGTGGTTTCCATTTTGATGAAACCTGCTGAAGACCACACACTTTGCCTGCTGCAAGATTGCAAGAGAATCATACAATTGTCTAGGATGATGGCAGGCAGTCAGTGCCTATGTTTTGCACTCTGGCCAGTTAGAGAGTTTTTATGCCAGCTTGGAATAACAGTATTCTGTGTCTTAACTGTAGAGCTGAAAGTATGTTAATGTTATGAATGTTGCTGTTAACATATAGGTTATATTAACATTTCTAGTGTTGCTATTAATATAGAGGTACAAGTAAATCAACATTGCTAATGCTGCCATTATTGTATAGATAAAAGTATATCACCAATACTAATGCTTCTATTAAAATAGATTTGAAATTGTGTTAACATTACTAATCATATCTTTCATTAAGAGATAAATGTTTATTTGATACTGGCTAATCCTGTTATTCGTTAATTCATAGAAATTAAATATAGCTATATTAATCTTGCCCTCAAAAAGATGAAAGATACAGATAATTTTCAGAGTTTAAATATCAAGTGAGATGGGTGTGGGAACTATTCAAAAGCTTTTACTACAACCTAGTCTGTGAAATTTTTAAGCTATTGCAACATACTTCTTGGAACTTGTAAGCTATTACCGCATAGTCCATGACACTAGTAAACTATTGTCACATAGCCCATGACATTAGTAGGCTATTTCCACATAGCCAATGACATTAGTAAGCTATTGCCACAATAGTTCATGACATTAGTAAGCTATTGCCACAATAGTTCATGACATTAGTAAGTTATTGCCACAATAGTTCATGACATTAGTAAGCTATTGCCACAATAGTTCATGACATTAGTAAGCTATTGCCACAATAGTTCATGACATTAGTAAGCTATTGCCACAATAGTTCATGACATTAGTAAGCTATTGCCACAATAGTTCATGACATTAGTAAGTTATTGCCACAATAGTTCATGACATTAGTAAGCTATTGCCACAATAGTCCATGACATTAGTAAGTTATTGCCACAATAGTTCATGACATTAGTAAGCTATTGCCACAATAGTTCATGACATTAGTAAGTTATTGCCACAATAGTTCATGACATTAGTAAGTTATTGCCACAATAGTTCATGACATTAGTAAGCTATTGCCACAATAGTTCATGACATTAGTAAGTTATTGCCACAATAGTTCATGACATTAGTAAGTTATTGCCACAATAGTTCATGACATTAGTAAGCTATTGCCACAATAGTTCATGACATTAGTAAGTTATTGCCACAATAGTTCATGACATTAGTAAGCTATTGCCACAATAGTTCATGACATTAGTAAGTTATTGCCACAATAGTCCATGACATTAGTAAGTTATTGCCACAATAGTCCATGACATTAGTAAGTTATTGCCACAATAGTTCATTACATTAGTAAGTTATTGTCACAATAGTCCATGACATTAGTAAGTTATTGTCACAATAGTTCATGACATTAGTAAGTTATTGTCACAATAGTTCATGACATTAGTAAGTTATTGTCACAATAGTCCATGACATTAGTAAGTTATTGCCACAATAGTTCATGATATTAGTAAGTTATTGTCACAATAGTTCATGACATTAGTAAGTTATTGCCACAATAGTTCATGACATTAGTAAGTTATTGCCACAATAGTTCATGACATCACTAAGCTATTAACACATAATCCATAATATTAGTAAACAACTGTCATATAGGTCGGCTCTGTGGCTAAGTCGATGCGAACGCTTCGCTTTGTAATGCCGGGATGCCAGGTTCGATCCCAGCTGCGGTCAATGCGCCTTGCGTTGGTTTCGACAGTGGTATCAAGAAAGCCGACCGTCCAGAAAGCAATGGCAAACTACTGAATGTAAATTGCCTAGAGAAACCACACAACAGCCAGGGGCTGTTAGGGTTGGTTCTGCAACGTCCTGTAAAGGATACGCAACTAACTAACTGTCATATAGCCCGTCACATCAGTAAGCTATTATCACATAGTCCATGACATCAGTAAGCTATTATCACATAGTCCATGATATTAGTAAGCTATTATCACATAGTCCATGACATCAGTAAGCTATTATCACACAGCTGTAAGCTATTATCACATAGTCCATGACATCAGTAAGCTATTATCACATAGTCCATGACATCAGTAAGCTATTATTACATAGTCCATGATATTAGTAAGCTATTATCACATAGTCCATGATATTAGTAAGCTATTATCACATAGTCCATGATATTAGTAAGCTATTATCACATAGTCCATGACATCAGTAAGCTATTATCACATAGTCCATGATATCAGTGAGCTATTATCACATAGTCCATGACATCAGTAGGCTATTATCACATAGTCTATGACATTAGTAAGTTGTTATTACATAGTTGATGATATCAGTAAGCTGTTATCACACAGTTCCTGACATCAGTATATTATTATCACTTAGTCTGTGACATCAGTAAGCTGATATCATATAACCCATGACATCAATGAGTTATTATCACATAATCTATAAAATAAGTAAGCTACCACCAGACTTAGAGCCACCGGAGCATAGTGGCTAGCTTGCTTGCCTTTCAACCTGGAGGTCATAGGTTTGAATCCCTATCAAGACAGATTTAAACAAAATGAACCTGGGCTGCCAGGTACTATTTGAGCAGTGATTAAGTTTGTTTATTTTGTATTTAAAAAACTTTCAGCTATAAAAGCTTCTGGGGGGATACTGTCTGGGCCAGTAGCTTTCACATCCCTAAAGAGTTTGAAAACTGTTAACATTTCTTCTTCAAGTAGTTCTTCACAGTTGATATCCAACCCCCACTTTTGCCTAAAAGTGAGTATCAGGAAGTGTCCTGAGAAGTAAATGTAGCCAGTGTGATATTGACCACATCATCCTCTGCGGGCTTATTGATCTGTAAAGAATATACCTTGAGTTGTGGACTGGCTACTTGATGAATCCTATCTGCCCTCTTTACTTCCCTGGATATTTCCTGGTTCTGAGCCTTGTGTCAGTTATATAATATCATCTTGCCATGGATTTAAAACCATAGTTTTTATGTTAGCAAGCAAGAGTCTAGAAACAATATAGTAATTTTTTTTTACTTTTAAAAACACAAACCATTCTACATAGGGGAAAACTTGCTTTGGGAAATCTCTCACCGTGTACATGTATATAGCACTGCTTAAATAAATTGCATGCAGTCTTTCTGAAAAGCTTATAGTCTGCTAATATTGCTGACTCTATTCATTGATAAGTACTAGATCTTATTTTGCCAGTAGAAACAAACGTACACAAGAATTAACCTTGCAGTCAATCAGTCTGTCAGCATGTCCTTGATAGAATGTTGACTTTTTTCATGGGCCTGAAAGTCTGCCTTTCTCTAGCCAGTTCTTCAGCCCTGTGTGCTTTGATGGCCAGTGCATCTTCAGTGTCCTGTAGCCTCCTTCGCTGAGGTTGACCTCTGCCTCATTTTCCAGAAACTTTGCTGTCAATCACTGTTCTGTTCTCTCCAGAGTACCATGGCAACTTTGCCATAGCTCTAGAATTATTATGCTTATAGACTCAGACCATCTAGTTTGAGAATGGAGGTGGAGGCAGTCACTGCTGCCCTCCGCTGGCTTGAAAATCAGCTGTATACACATGTCGTGATTGTCACTGACTCACAGAGCATGTTTAGAAAGGTGGAGACAGGTATGCTCCATGCAGAGTGGCAGGCATCACTTCAGAGGTCCCGTGTAGTTAGTATCCTTTGGAAATTCTCTCCAGGTAATGCAGGTGTGTTGGGAATTGAGCAGGCAGATAGGCTGGCCGGTTATGCACCACTTGGTAGTAAATTGATGCATGACAAGCTACGTTGTGATGGCCCTCTGGGAGTGGGTGAACAGTGCGGAAGCACAAATAGATCATTACGGTCTGAGGAGGATGGCACTGCGAGGCGTTACCAAGGGATCTGACCGACGCTCAGCACTCAAGGAAAGGGCGAGACGGATATACAATCAAACAGATACTGGTGCCATTGGAATTGGAAGTCTTTGTTTGCTGCTGAAGCTAAGGATGGTGTGCTTATGGTGGTGTCTCTAGTGTTATGATGTCAATTCTTAATTCAACATTCAACTGAAAAAGCACTACTCACATGCACTTGGGACAAATGTACTAGACATTGTTGTGCTTTTAGATTCGAAAGACATCTTGGCACAGCTTTGACAAAAAGACTACTTTCTTCACTTTGAAACTCAGAAGGCACCTAGATTCAGTTGTGACAGGAATATTAAACATTGTTTTGCTGTTGGATTAAAATGGCACCTGGAAACATCTGTTACAACACCACTGGACCCTATTTTGCTCTCAGGTCCAAAAGATGTCTAGGCAAAGCTGTGACAGGAAAACTAGACTCTTGAGCTTTTAGATGCAATAATAACCTAGACACAGCTGTTAAAATGAGTACTAGACAACATTTTTCAGCCAGACTAAAATTTTTAGTTGCAGCTGTGACAAAAATATTAGACACCAATGCTTTTAGATTTTTGAGTCACCTAGATGCATTATGAAAAGAGTACTAGAGAGCTTTTAGTTTTTATTCAGATTGAATAAATACCTAAAAACACTTTAACTTGGGTAGATGTACTAGACAGAATGTTGCTGTTAAACTAGTTCAACATGTAGATGCGTCTGTAACTTGGGTACTAGACTTATTTTGCTTTTAGACGCAAAGCACATAGATATTTGTGGATATTCTGCTGTTGCTGCGATAGTGCTAAAATATACTGGTGGCTAGGTTCTCATCGTTTCTTCTATATACATATATTTTTTTGTATATTGTAGACAAATGTCCTTGTTTGGTTGAGTTCTTTGTTCTGTGTATAGTTTATCATGTGCAAATTTATTGGAACATGTATGCAGTTAGATATCTAATTTACTGGATTATTTGTCACGGGTGACAGATGACTTTGAAGAAACCACATTTGTCTTGGGAGATGGAAATAAATACCTTAGAGAAACCACATTTGCCTTGGGAGATGGAAATAAATACCTTAGAGAAACCACATTTGCCTTGGGAGATGGAAAAAAGTACCTTAGAGAAACCTCATTTGTCTTGAGAGATGGAAAGAAGTACCTTAGAGAAACCACATTTGTCTTGGGAGATGGAAATAAATACCTTAGAGAAACCACATTTGTCTTGAGAGATGGAAATAAATACCTTAGAGAAACCACATTTGTCTTGGGAGATGGAAATAAATACCTTAGAGAAACCTCATTTGTCTTGGGAGATGGAAAGAAGTACCTTAGAGAAACCTCATTTGTCTTGGGAGATGGAAAGAAGTACCTTAGAGAAACCTCATTTGTCTTGGGAGATGGAAAGAAGTACCTTAGAGAAACCTCATTTGTCTTGGGAGATGGAAAGAAATACCTTAGAGAAACCTCATTTGTCTTGGGAGATGGAAAGAAATATCTTAGAGAAACCTCATTTGTCTTGGAAGATGGAAAGAAATACCTTAGAGAAACCTTATTTGTCTTGGGAGATGGAAAGAAGTACCTTACAGAAACCACATTTATTTTGGAAGATGGAAAGAAGTACTTTAGAGAAACCACATTTGTCTTGGGAGATGGAAAGAAGTACTTTAGAGAAACCACATTTGTCTTGGGAGATGGAAAGAAGTACCTTAGAGAAACCTCATTTGTCTTGGGAGATGGAAAGAAGTACTTTAGAGAAACCACATTTTCCTTTACCTCCTGCAGACTGGGTAGAATTCACCATGTGTACAAGATGGCTTTAAAAAATAAAAAAAAGGAAGAAAGAAACCCAGAGATGGTATCTGCTTGCCTACCAGGACAATGATCCTTGTTCAGTCTTTAACAATTAGAGAAATTTCACCAGCCAATACAGACAAATGAACTATTTGTACCAACTTTGTGTTATCAATGCCAGACAGTCCTAGAAAAACATAAATGCAAAATGACACCATGCGAGATAAGAATAATAAAAAAATGCGGTGGGGAAAAAACACGGAATGCCGGAGGAGTCACCGGTGGAGAAGTAAAATAATGGTAGGCACAGTAACAGTGAATAATTTTATAGAACATCAGAGAATGAAATGGTTTTGTCATCTGGTCAGATTGGAACAAAATCGGCCAGCAGCTGCTAGAGCATACCACGTGAAATAAGCAGGCTACAAGGCCAGAGGCCAACCAAGAAAAAATATGGGTGGAGGGAGTAAAAGAGAAACAACAGAAATGCAGTAAGACATTATCACAAGCTACACAACTAGCAAAAGACAAGAAACTACATCTAACTCCTCTCTGCCTTGCTTTATGATATAAGCGGTAGGACAGAAGAAAGAAGAAGAAGAATACTTCTCTAAGGTTAAGCCAACCTCATAAAAAATGGCCACAAGATAATCTGCAGATAGTTTTCTTGAAAGTGAAGGTAATGAGAAAGGGAACTAGAATATGTGAAGGCCTAACACTTGTCATCTGAAAAACAGTAGCATTTGCTATTGGTCGATTTGTCAATCAGTTAATCCTCTTTCGGCTGCTACCTTATGGTTTACAAGACCCTCCTAAGATTGAAAAATCTCAGTTGACGGCACGCCAGCAAGGCAGATCTCAGACACCCTGATCAGTCTCCCAGGAAGTTATATTTAGGGCACTTATAATGGCTACACCAGCCAGGTGTTGCCTGCAGTTCTTGCAGGTAAGGACCCATTTGCTGTGAGAATACCTGCGCTTTTTTGTTTGGGTCACACACATTGTTCCCACTAAGAACAGAACATTGCAGACTTAACTCACTCATGACCAGAATGAAAGCTGCACATTCCACCAAGTGTCCCTGCCAAACTGCACTCTAAACACCTGAGCACATACTGCTGAACTGCCCCCACCCCTCCCCCAGCAAAACCTGGCCAGTGGAATGAGGCATCAGGACATACTTTGGGGAAACCTTGAAGGTTTGCTGCGGATGTGCTGTTTAATTGAGGCAACATAACTAATAACTTCAGCATATGACAAGGTCAAGCTGTTTGTTACTAGGAAACAAATTCAAATATAGAAGGGTAAAGAATGCCCATGCATCTTTGAACAAGTTTCCCCCTAAAAATAAGATCAAGGAGAATAGTCAATGATTGTACACAAAGGGATCAATTTATCCACCGTGCTGATAACACAATGATGTTATTAAAATTGTCTAATTATTCATTATACAATTTCTATCGTAATGTCAACCCAAATCAAAGCGAAATGTGAAAAAATACAAAATTACATGTTGATCTAATAAATAAATACATGATATATAGAATAACACATATATATACTCTGAGAACTTAATAAACTCTATATATCCCAGTTATAACCCTGAGGGTTAAACAGGATATTAAAATAAACTACTGCTACTACTTAAGCATATGAAACCGATTGCACAGAAGAAGATACTGTTACTACAGAGCAGTGAACATGTGGCAGAAGAACTGATGAGCAAATACCGTGGGACTGCTATGCGAATAACTTTATGTTTACGGCAGGAAGGGTAATCACTCTGGGAGTGATGGAGGACGGAGACCAGGTGTAATAACTCTAGGATTGATGGAGGATGGAGACCAGGTGTAATCACTCTGGGAGTGATGGAGGATGGAGACCAGGTGTAATCACTCTGGGAGTGATGGAGGACGGAGACCAGGTGTAATCACTCTGGGAGTGATGGAGGATGGAGACCAGGTGTAATTACTCTGGGAGTGATGGAGGATGGAGACAAGGTGTAATTACTCTGGGAGTGATGGAGGATGGAAATCAGATAAGGGAAAAAACCCAACAGAAACTGTTTTTGCAATGCACACATAGAAGACAGATCCCTTTGTACTTGGAAATTGAAGAGAGCAGGCTGAATAGGCCTAACTTTTAAATTGGAGGTCCTGTTACGGCTGGCATAGCTCTCAGGAACATTGACTCAAGCCCCCACCCACCCCTTCCAATGCAGTGAGGTGAAAACACCTTCGGGGAAGCCGAAGTTTGTAATGTTTAAATCACAAGTAATTACTGGCATCGTGAGGGCTCATAGACTGCAGTGGTTGGAGCAAAAAGAGAATGGCAAAAAAGCAGACAGAAACTGCGCACACAAAAAAGTTGAATGGGAGTAGAACTTGAGGCAGACCAAGAAGACGGTGGAGAGATAATATAAAGGCAGACTTACACACACTTAGTCACTAACTGGAAAGAGATGGTAGGTCACAGAGGTGAATTGGGGCAGAGTAATTCTGAAGCATTTAACCTTAAGGGCTCTTTCTAAAATACACAAACTGTAGTACAGAAAACATAACACTTATTTGTGATTAGAAGAGTTAATTAACAATGAGGACATCAGTGCATTTATTTATTGGTTGTTGTGGAAACAAGAATTGAGTGTTGTAAATGTTTACACACTGGTCTGTGTATATTCTAGAGCACATTCACTTTATTTGTTTACTGATTTCTTTCATTCCTTTTCTTTGTGCATGTCGGTTGACCTTGACCTCATCTCCTCTGTTTCCTGGACGATGGGGGTTCTAGCCACCAAGAGGTGACAACTCTAGTTTCTCGGGCACATCTGCGTCCAGTAAGAACGTGCCTCTAGTGAAAACAGAGACACGTTCTGTGACCTATGAGCGGGACAACTCACCGTATGACTTAGATGATGGGGAATTGGTCAGTGCACATTCTCATAGTTCCAGAATGCAGACAGTTGAAACTACCACTGTAAGTTGAATATTGTGTACTCAGATAACAAGCACACTATGTACAGAGAGTAGGTCACAACTCATGCAACTTTTACCTACAGAAGTAAATTGCTCAGCAATCATTTAGGCTATATAAACAGTAAGATAATCAAATTATGTTTATAAGGAGAGTTCATTTAAAACCTATTCCAATGGCATTATTACAAAAGCATGAAATAAATATCAGTCGGGGCAGAATTGATCAAAACGTTTAATTTAAATGAATTAGGCACCATGGGTTCTACCTCTTCTTCAGCATTCAGAGCCCTTGAGGTTCATTGCTGCAGATATCACCCGCCTCTATCCATCTCTCTCTTCTTGGCCTTATCTTTTCAGTTGGTGACACCAAGTGTTTGTAGGTCTATCTAGACATTGTCTCTCCATCGTCTTCGGTCTATTAGCTCTCATGATGCCAGTGATTAGTGGTGATTTAAACAGATTATGAATTTTTTTGTTGCTTTTTATCTCCATTCCCTGCTGTTTGCATCTTTGCGGGTCTAAAGATTCGTCGCAAGACTCTGTTTTTGAAAACCTGTGATAAGGCTTCATTTGTTTTAGTTGTGCTCTAGGTTTCAGAGCCGTATAAAATGACTGGTCTTATCAACTTTTTATATATTTTGAGCTTGGTGTTGCGAGACAGACACTTTGACTTTAGCAGATGTTGAAGGGCATAGTATACTTTATTTCCAGATTGTATTCTAGATTGTATTTTTTCTCTCAGCATATTGGAGCAGTTGAAGTTTGCACCCAAGTACTTATATGTTTACATTTTTTTGATTAGGCATAATGGGTTGGTCAGACAAAAATCACCGAAGGCATTCAGGCAAGCATCCAATTGCTTTTGTAGGCAGCAGATGCCTTCCACAAAAAATAGGATTATGGTCTCTCACTGAATCAAGTGTTTACTGCATCAGCAACCTTGTTATCCACTTTGAACGTACTTCTGATATTTCAGTTTCTTACGAACAACCGTTTGAACTGTCCCAATTGACACATCAAATTCTTTTGCTAGTGAATGTTTGTCTTGACAATGTTTCACTTGTTTTTATATATGACATTTGGAGGTTTTTGTGTGTGTGTGTGGCAATAATATGCGTATGAAGCTGCCCTGAAAGATATGTTGTGAGCTCACATCCTTAAACATTCATAACCAATCTGTCACTGTTGTCTGATAGATATTTGTTACGGTGCACTGTCTGCATTCTTCGGTGAATGTCTTGTGGTGGACATACTTTAAATGAAAGAAAGTAAATCACAGCTCTTTGAGCTTCTTTTGTTGGGTTTTGGATCAACCCAGCCTTTTTCTCATCAGTCAGAAACAGAACATATGCATCATGTGATGATAAGCATGTGCTCTAGTCATAGGTCAGTACTTACACTCAGGTGACATGTACTGTGACTTGATCTGGTTCAAGGCATGCAATTACATGCAGTGTGGCATGAATAGGTTTCTTCTTTGGTTCATCGGCTGTAAACTCTGTCAGGAATTTCTTCTTGTTCATCCACTTCTGGACTTGAGGTCTTGTTCTGGAGCCTGAATTTTGCGTGCACATCAGTTTTACAGATCTGGCTTACTTGTACACAGACTTTTGGTTCCTCACCACTCAGACAGCTGCACTCGGACTTCAGAGGGAACATTCCTAATTAGTCACCTTTTGGGATATGCTTGTTAGGGGCAGGGGGTATATCCCCCCCCCCCCCCCCCCCCCAAAAAAAAATGGAGCTCCAGAAATCACACGGGGAGAATGGGTTTGAAATGAACACTCCCAGTATTAATTGGCACTCGTAGATAAGAGTAAAGAGAGGTGGTCACTGATATCTGGTGCCCTACTGTCTTTGTTTTTCTTCTAGGAATGCTAATAAAGACATGTAATTTGTTTATTGAAACTTTTACCTTCAGGATGTGGAAAGATTGCAGAATTGATTTATAGTATATGTTCTTATGGAAACCATGGTTTCACAGTTGATAAAATGCCTACAAGTTGACCCAGAATTTTTGAGTCCGAATTCATGAGTTAATTTTATTATAATTGACCTTGACACCCAAGTCGAGCCAGTCTAGAATGGGTTCCGGGAAATTTCCTGAGATGCAAAGGTGACACCCAAGTCAAGCCAGTCTAGAATGGGTTCCGGGAAATTTCCTGAGATGTAAAGGTGACCACATCATGCAGTGAGGGCTGATTGGCCTATAAGAAATATGGGTGTAACACCATATGCCTCTCAGCCAGGATAGCCTAGTGGCTTGCCTGCTAATCTGAAGGACTAGGGTTTGATTAAACATTGAGTAAGATTTTTGCCTCTTGGCTTCCAAATTGACTTGAGACTAAAAATGGGTTCACGCAACATCCTGAGGAGTAATGGCGGTCGGCATGTTGACCAAATTATACATCAGTGTTGTTTATCTATAAAAATAGGATTGTTTCCTCATGTGCCTTATGCACTACTGGTTTAGAAGAAAAAAAGGATTAGTCACCTTTGCCAAATGCCTGATGCAGCCCTTGCATGTATAGGGTCCTTACTATAGTTTCTTATGGCCCAGTGGCTAGTACTCATATCTACTTGCCATGTGGTCATGGGTTTTTACTCACATTAATTCTGGATTTTTAAAAACAGCTAGAATTTTTGGGTGACCAAGCTTAAAATAAGTACCAGAAAAGGTTCGGGAACATGAGGACACTGGCATGATTTTGACTGTATTATCTTTGTATGATTGTTGGTCTATAATATTAAAAGCCAACACCATATAGGCTGATGCTCAGTGGCTCATTACTTTTTTTTTTTTTTTTAAATTGTTGTAGTCAGTCAGTCAGTCAGTCAGGAGCATGTCCTTTTCATAACCTTGCTCCCATAACAACCCTCCGAAAACTTCTCTATCACAAGCAAGATGTCCCACGTTTGATACACCCATCTGGCGATCCTTGTTGTAATACTGATATTAAGGAATGTAAATCAAAAGTAGCACGCTAATCTTAAAAAAACAAATTTGAGTAGATACAATTAATCAAAGACTATGTTCACACACATCCTCACTTTTCCTAGAAAAGATAGTCTTCAAAAAAAAAAAAAAAAAAGAATACTTGTATGTTTTTTCTTTATCTTTTTCTTTTGTTGTCACACTGATATCAGGTTTTAGCCCAGTGTCATAGTTTACTGTATTTGTTTAAACTTCTCTTGCGGCGTGTTTATGGATTTTATTTCTTTCAGCAGTCTCTTTTTCATTGTAAGTGGTTCCAGAACTTCCTCACTTGTTTTTATTTCCTGATCCAAAAATTGTGAACCAGTCTTCTTAAGATCCACATTTCAAAAGCCCAAGCTTTATGCTGCATCTTTTTATTAGAGGTGCATACGCTAATTTTAAATATATGCAGTATTTGATAAACCTGAGGATCCGTTTCTGTTATATTTGGTTTTTTTTAGTCCTACTTACTTACTTACTGAAATTGTCACTCCTCTTCTACCTTGGAGTGTGGAGGTTTGCTAGACTGATTGCCAGACTTCTGTGTCAGCAGTTTTTGTTTTGACTTTGTTCCATTCCAGTCCTCTGTCATTCAAAGATGTCAGATGCTGTCTTCCCATTGAACTCTCGTTCATCGTAGATGTTTGGTTCCCTGGTTCTTGGCCTCCCCTGCCTGTTGTGGTTTCCAATTCTCTCCCTTTCTGCATTCATGTCCAAACCCCATTTGAGTTTGTAGGGCCTGGGTTTGGGTATCATCGCCTATTGTCTGCTTGGGAACTTTGTCCCTTCTTGATACTTGGGCTTTCTCAGATACCTCATTTCTGAGACCTGGATCTGGCATCTGTGAGCTGTCGTCATTACCCATGACTCACACCTGTAGGTCAGGACTGGCACATAGGTAAAGTGGTACACAGCCAGTTTTCATCATCTTGCCAATTTCTCTTGTGCTGAGAAACTTGAGTCAGTAAAGTAAAAGACCTTATTAATGTAAGTTTTCATCCTCTTGCCTATTTCTCTTGTGATGAGAAACTTGAGTCAGTGAAGTAAAAGACCTTATTCACACAAATTTTCATCATCTTGCCTATTTCTCTTGTGATAAGAAACTTGAGTCAGTAAGGTAAAAGACCTTATTCACGCCAGTGGTGCCTCAGGCAAATGATGCTAGACCCAGTTTGTTTGGAGACCAATCGACCCTGATGGGGCTGATGTGGTCACCATCGCCCCAGCCATTTTTACTATCTAGGAGTTTATCTGGTACCTATTTTAGGCTGGTTCAACCTGGGAGCCAAGTTATTTTTTTAAACAAATTCAGCTCTATGCCGATTGAAACCTAAGACCTTCAGGTTGGAGAATGGGGGTCTGGCAGCTAGGATGGGATTCTAATCACAGCAGAGATATGACCCTGGGTAGGCGATCCTCCCTGCTTGTGTCAGGAAAGTAATGAGCATTCATAGAATTGGGACCATTCTGATTATCTGAAGCCTCCTGTTATGCTTGCTTCCTCACTTGAATTTTTTTAAAAAGAATTATGGTATTTTCATTAAACTTGTATTTTCATTATATTTATACTTTCTGTTTGTTGCATGCATGCTAGACTCTCTCTGCTCTGCCTTTTTATTTTTGTTTTTTATGCATGCTTTAATTTTTTTTGGGTTTTTTACTGGCAGCCTTTTCTAAAATCTGACATTTTCTTATCTTAAATCTGCTCGCTCTACAATGAGCCTAAGTAGCCAGTCAAAGGTTTTCTGCAGCTTGTTGTTTAAGAAATGCCAATAAATAACATTTACTATGTAAACAATGTAAATGTAAAACAATGCAAATAGTCTTATGAGACTATGAAAATAAAGGTACCTGTGTATTGTCAACATAACCTACACAAGTTTCAGTATGCATTAATTTATGTATTCATGCATTATTCTCAAGTGTTGACAAATTTGAATGTTTACAGTACCAAACAGAGAAGGATGGCATGGTGGAGACGAGAGTAGAGCAGAAATTTACTGTCTCCTTAGAGGGCCAAGATGATTTTGACTATGACTCAGTAAGTTCTTTCCCTTCACTTCTAGCAGTTATCTTGGTGAAATATTTTGTCTGTGTTAACTCCTATTTCTACTTATTTCCTCTACATCTGTGAGTGCCCAACAGTACATATCAGTTTGTTGTATCTTATTCCAGGGAAGTGTTGGAGGGAGATGTAAAGATCTTATGTTTGCTTTATCTAATGCACTTTTTAAGTTGGTCTTCATTCAACTTAGGTTGATGCATCAGCAGTTATAGAACAAAGAAGATCCCTCTGTGGCTTCTGGGGTCCCACTGTGGGGAAAACAGGAATAGACCCACTGTCTCCCCAACAAGAAATGTCATAAGAGTCGACTAAGTGGGGACTTTGTTTGAAACCCGAGTGCATCTGCTGGGCTCCACTGTGGGGAAAACAGGATTAGACCCACTGCCTCCCCAACAACAATGTCATAGGAGTTGACTAAGTGGGGACTTTGTTTGAAACCCGAGTGCATGTGCTGGGCTGCACGGGACAACCAGCTGTACACAAATGAGCCAGAAACACGGATGTTCACACAAAACTCAGGCCCTGGCACAAAGCCGAAGTCCAGATGGATGAACATCATACCTTTCTGCTTGAGCTGACAGCCTGTGAACAAAGAAGAAGAGAAACAAAGAAGAGAAACAAAGAAGAAGAGACAAAGAAGAAGAGAAACAAAGAAGATGGCAATATAATGGATACATCCTGAAGAGAATGGACAAAAATACACCAAAGAGCTACTTAAAGGAAACAAAATGAAATGAGAAAATAAATAACACCCCCCCCCCCCCCCCCCCTCCAAAAAAAAACACTAATAGATGAATGTTGAGAAGAAATGCCAAAGTTACTAATCAGGATTCCATCGATGATATTGAACAATTGCACAGGATACATACTGGCACAACAGAATGATGGCAATGTTCTTGATTCCCTCATTCCATTTTTTTCTCTCCTAACTCATTTCCATTGTATTTCTTCAGCAGGGCTTTTTGTGGCAGTTGGTGGTTTTTTCAGATGGGCAGACCATCTCATTTGTTGCTTCTTAATGAATTGTATGACAGGTTTTAGTCCCAGTCTTCTAATTTATTAATTTTCGAGTGAATCAACTCTTGCTACTCCAGTCTGGTACAAAAACAAAATTTATGACTTTGACTTTCAAACCAAGTTTACTGTAACTTGGTGTTTATTAATTTTAAAATTTTTAACTACAATTTTTAGACATCCTGAATGAAGATTGTAAAACTATTTGCATGCCTTTAAGCATGCTTCATACAGATAAATATAAACAGGTCGATCAGCGTGACGGTGGGAACAGAATATTAAGGACATCATGTGCATGAAAGTTCATTAGGCAGGCTAATTGGCAGCAGACTGAATGTCTGTCCTGCTTGACTTGATGAGAGGAGTGTTCTGCAAAGGTCCTGCCACATGATGGTAATGAATAGGACACATTACAATATTTATTTATATTCATTATCTACAGAAGATATTTTATGTGCATAAATTATTGTAAACCTGTTTCATGCAGAATGATAATACATGTTTAAAGATGGGAACATTGGTGCAGGGTGCAATTTGCAGATAACAAGGCAGAGGCAGACCTGTACAAAGTGGATACAAGACATGAAGGTGCATTTGTTGTGAAAGCACATAGGGCTGGAGAATGGGCCAGAGAAAGAGAGACTTTAAGCTGTGCCATGAAGGGAGCAAAGTTCTGTAAAGTACCTGCTGATTGGGGATGATGATGATGATGATGATGATGATGACGACGATGACGATGACGACGACGACGATGATAATGATGATGATATACTTGTTATTTCACCATCTAGGCTTTGGCTGATGCCATTCGTTCTGTGATAGAGTTTAACCCTGACATGTCTGTGGAACGTATTGAGTGTGTTCAACACATAGAGGATGACAGAAGTGGAAGGACACACATGGAATCACAGATTTAGATATCTTTATGTAAGTTTTCCCACTTATCTTGCAGTTTTTATTTTTTCATTTTCTTAAAATGTTTTATTTATTGTAGATTGTTTTCTGCTTTGTTTCTTTTTGTTTTATCTCTAACAATGTAGTTTGTGATTTCTGCGGCTATTTGTTGTACATGTTTTATGTTCTGTTCACCACTTGTGATATCTCTGCAGTGTAGATTATTTTGTATTCTTTGCTATTTATGACTTTCTTCCTTGTTTCACATTTGGTTGTACCAGTTTTTTAAGAATTTTCCCCACATAATAGTTTACTTATTATTTGTGAACTAAGATACTTCTTTCTTAACTCTTTGAGTCCCAGCGGGTTCAGCATCACGGGCCCAAGGGCTAGTCAATAGAGATGTAACATCGGCGCATCATGCGCTCATTGGGCTTCTAAGTAGGAATCTCTGAATGTATGATGCGCTCTTTGGGACTCAAAGAGTTAAGGGGTCAGGATACAGAAATTTTGTTTCCTCAGTTTATGACAAAAATATCAGTTTTTTTTAGTTCACGTTTGTTAAGTTCAGCCTTCTTAGAATCGATTACACACACAGGAAACATCTTTTGTAAGCAGTTAAGCATGTAAAAGTTTATAGTGAAGAGTCCACCACATTAATATTTGTAAGAGGGAAAAACGTTGTGGCCAAAAAAAAAACACACACACACAAAACAGCAATGTTTGAGACATAGCAGCTGCTGTTTTCAAATATTACAGTAGGACATATTACTGATCACTACAAAGGCTGTTCCAAGAAATATTCAGATTTTTATTAATGAGAGCATAACCTAGCTTTGACAGCTAGATTCAAAACTTAGAATGTGCTGACTCTACGGATATTTCCTTGCCTGTTTTCTTTGGCCACATTTTATTGGTTCCTTTTAACAGATTTCCTTGGTGATAATTATATTATACATGCGCGAAGCAAGGGTCTTTTACCAGAGAGTTGTTTTGTTTATCTAACATGGTTAGTGGCTTATGTTTTCAGTTTTACTGAAAATCTTCTTATACAAGCACTAATTATCATCATCATGTGCCCTGCCAACTGGTGTAGGCGCTCATGCATCTCCACAGATCAGGATCCTTGGTTGTCTGGAACCACTCTCTTGCTGATATCCCTCCATGCCATCGTTTCAGCCCATCCATTCATTATGCCTAAGAAAAATATTGATTCAGAACCGACCCCTCCCCCTCCACACACACACATGCACGCATGCACTAACACACACACATGCACACACACACACATGCACACACACACATGCACACACATGCACACACACACACACACACACACACACACACACACCCACCTAGAGGAATTCATGCAAGGAAACTTAGAGAATCATTGAATTTACAGTAATTTTGTGTGAATAAGAATTTAGTCAGTGGATAAGACAATCTGAGAAAATGTATTAGTAGCGACCTAAAGGACAAAACAAATAGAGGGAGATCTGAGAACATTGTTTCAGTAATAGAAGATCAGTTAAGTAATCTAGTTCTTTTTTTTTTTTTTTTTTTTTAAATATAGAATCTCATATGATTTTTAAAAGAAAATAGAATAAACCAGAAGATTTTCCTGTACATAGAAATCTTAACCCTTTGACCCTGAGAAACCACAAAACTGTGACACTCCCGTTTGGTATTATTTCCCAGTATGATCTGCTTTCCCAACTCGTTAAAGAGACAAGTTTACATTTTTCAAAACCATTCTCTCAGCTGCTTAGATTATGTAGGTTCTGGTGTGTATACGTCATTCCTATAAATAAACAGAGGGGAAACTTTGAGGCCGTTAAATATTATGAATTATTCAAGTAACAGAAAGTGTATTGATCGCCACTCATAGAAAGAAGTAGATAGATTTCTTCTATCTATCTACTTCTTTCTGTGAGTGCCGATCAATACACTTTCTGTTATTTGAATAATTCATTAGATTATATAGGTTGTGTTCCTATGACTTTGATATCTTGAGTAAAGCATTTGAGTTTCTTTTCTTTTCTTTCTGTGCTTACCTTTACCCTGAAAAAATTCTCGTGGAGGCTCTCAAACAAATACAATCCATCACTCAGAGAGAGGCATTGCCCACTAAATCTATACCTGCTCCTGTTAGACCTCAATTGATCTTAACCTTTCTCCCTAACTTTTGCTGATTCTAGAATCTTCCATCATCACCTTAACATTCTCCGCTCTGATCTGGACACTTTTGAGATCTGCAATGACAACCTAAGAGACAGAAAGCAAGACTGTCATAATTTGAAACATGCTTGTCAGAAGCACTACTTCCAAATACTCCCTGACTAGATGCACAACATGTCCATTTATGATTCAAACACTTTGATCTGCTTCCCAAAATGTTTTTTTTTCCTCCACATTTGGGAAGCATTTACTTGTGAATCCCATAACATAATGTAGGCCATCCTATGCAGAGAATGTTATAAGGCCTAATATATTGGGAAAACTGGTAGGCAGCTAGCGGATCATTTCCATGAACATCCTAAGGATATTTGTTATAAAGCTCTTAAAGTGATATCCCTCCTTTTAACAGTTCTAACCACCAAGGCTTCAGTGTTATCTCAGTTACTGCTATAAGATCTTGCTGCAGTAATCAAACTAGCCACTATTTCTTAGAAAAACTGTTTAATTCACAGTTTTGAAATTTTTAGTCCTGGTGAGGTTAATATTCGACATAGCTATCTTTAGCATGTTTTTTTTTTTTTTTTTTAATGTTTGAAATTTATAAATTTACTTAACTTGTTCTTTTTTTCTAACCCTTTCTTCATTTTTCATTTCGTATATAGCCTTTCATGTCTGTATTTTCCCCTGTTAATGTTTTTCTTTGGACGCTCTCTTATCTCCTCAGTTGACTTTTCCAGTTCTGTTTTGTACTCATAAAGATTGCCCAGAACATTCCGTTGTATTTGTGCACATATTTTCCATTCCCTCCGTTGAGCTTTCTATCCCAATTTTATGTTATTTACTACAAATACTCTAGCTAACAGTAGTCATTGCATCTGTATATGCAGAAACGTTCAGCGTGACATGAGATGACTACATTTAGCAGAAATAGTATTTAGGAAATGTTTGCTTTTAAAACAACTGCTATTTTTATAGAATTTCCTATCTTATGTTTTTCCTGCTGGCTATAGTGGTTACTGGGAGACTTGGTCACATGATCGAAAGAGTGTCATGATAGAAGTAGTTTAACACGAGAGATGTAAGCCCTTAATTCTCTGCTGCATTTATTTAAATTGATTACTCCCTTAACTCTGTACAGTATTTGTGTTTTGGATGATAAATTAATTTGTGAAATGTTCTTATGTCAAATGGTAGTTTTTGTACGCATTTTTATTTTTGTTTTAGGGAATATCCAAAAAATATAAATTGCAGGAATTGTTCATTGTTGCTAAGTTACCGAGATAAAGCGGTTAAGGGATATTTAAAGGTGAGAGGATTGACTTCCGTGCCATGTATGATCTCATATGGCTCTGTCTGTCTTCACAGAATGGCTGTCACTCACAGTGCGTAGCACAAAGTGAACAGTTTTTTGCTCAAGGTACAGCTTCTGATGAGCTTTAAAATACTTGCACTCTCAAACCAAAGGACAGTGTCCAGCATTGAACCCACAACCTTCAGAGCACAAGGCATATGGTTTAACCACTGGCCATGGAGAAATATGTGTGTCTGGGTTCTGGTCCTCATTTTGGGGGAAACGAATAGACCCACTGCCCCCCTCCTCCTACCTACCTCCACAAGCATATTGTAAAAAAAAAGCTGATTAGGAGTCTTTTGTTCGAAGGCGGAGTACATCTGTCTGCCTGAGAGGCAAGGAACCAGAAGTTTGCATACAAATAAGACAGGCCTTGTAAAACAGATGTGCATGCAAAACTCACCTCCTGGTACAAGATCAAAGTCCAGAAGTATGTGAATAACCAGAACTTTCCACTGGAGTTTTACTGTCAGTAAACACTAAGAAGATGATGATGATGATGTGTATGCCATGTGGACATAATCCTTTACCAATTTTTCTTCACAGAAACAATTTTCTCAAGGCCTTCATTAAGTGTGCTGTAGCTGCAGCGTGGAAATGTGCAAGTGTGATCATAGTCTGCGCTTTTGATATTACACATGAGTTTGTGTTAAAGGAGAACATAATGTGCTTGTATCAGTTTAATATGTTACTGTTTCATAAAAGTTTTCAGGTCGAGAGGAATCACTTCATGGCATCAGTTTTAATTCCATTTGGCCTCTCTCTTGCAGAATTGCTAACCATCTACTCAGAGTATCTCACAGAGCACAAACTCCACAGATCTAGCCATTATCCCCAGGTTTCCATAAAAATGGCACTTGTGACTGAACAACCATACATATATTACCAGGGCCTTCATTAGAAGCATAGAATATTGATACTGCACCCTACCAGGCACGTTTAAGAGGTGACTAAGGGTACGGTTGGGTTTCGTTTCTGGTTAACCAGCTCATCCCATAAAAATAAAAGCAACAGAAACCAACCAACTATGCAAAACTGTAAAGAAATGAAGGTTGACCAAAATAGATGGAGAAGGGAACTAGAGAGTAAAGTTAAAAATATGGGGATGACATGGTTAGTAGAGGATAGTAGAACGACCTGGCGTGAGTTGGTTGAAAGTATACGCTCTATTGTGGGATAAGAAGACTGCAACACAATCAGTGAAACAAACCACAACCTTCAGATCGTGACACAAGCAGCTCAACCAGTTTTAATCCTGTCTGTGACTAAACATGACTAATATGTTTGCTTTGTAATATTTACGTGTATGGATCATCTTCTGTGTTGAATCATCATATCTGTATAAAGCTTATACTGAGTTGATAAATGTGCTTTTACTAAATGTACTTTAAAAAAGTCTATGTTTTCTTTTGTTTTATAAAAAGGTAAACAAATACGTGTAGGTGTGTTTATGTGAGTACTTTCACATACACTTGAACTTGTTTGATTTAGACAATGATGTGATCTGAGAACAGAACCAGTACAAAACTGCATGAAGAGATAATAGATCAAATGACATATGTCAAGACTACCGTCAGATGGTGCAAACCAGAGAACTCTCTCACTTGGTCACACTAGAAGTGGAACTGAAGATTGATCATGCAAGCGATGGATGGATGGAATATCCGAGGATGTAAATGCCAGCATCTGTGATGCACAAAACAAGGCTCATACCTGATGCCTTTTAAGAACCTGGCACTGAAAGACAGAACAGGGCTAGAGCAGAAGAAGAAAAAAGAACAAGAGCATGCTGAAGAGTTCAGGAGGCAGTGACAAAGTTCAGGACGCAGTGACAAAGTTCAGGAGGCAGTGACAAAGTTCGGGAGGCAGTGACACAGTTCAGGAGACAGTGATAAACTACCAGATGTACAGTTGTCTGGTAAAATCAGGCAATAAAGGCTGGATGGAATCAGATTTTTAAGGTAATCCTCCTCCCAAAAGAAGAAAGCTGTAACCTGATATCAAAATGAGATGTAGACAGTCTGTGTTTGTTTAGACATATTATGAGAATGAATGGACTTAAGAACTTGGTAGCAGGGACCATGGATTGATGGAAAGATGGTGAGAGAAAAGGCACACAGATAAATTAGTTGATTTTTTAGCTGTATGAATAGGGTGAGGCAAGAACACTGAACTGATCCATGATTATCTGCCTTTCATCATGGCACAAGATGATGATGATGATAAAGCAAAACTTCATTAATATTAATTCCAAGGGCTGAAAATCTTGTTCATGTTTAAAAATTTTGTGTTGTTGTTATTGCTACCTGGGGACTATTGATAATAATACATTCCTGCTGGGACCAAAACTTTGTTCATGTTGACCAAACGTTCTTCTTAAGCGAACAAACAGCTCAGGAGCTACAAGCGACAGTAGACAAAGTGACTGAGTGGTGTACAGAAATGAAGGCTGTCGTTCACCCGGAAAAGGTGTCTGTTTTGTGGTGTTCACTAGACAACAGGATCGTTAGAGCTAATGTCCCAAGTCTTACTATAGATGGTAGAAACGTCAACAGAGAGAGCAAACTGAAGTATCTTGGAATTACATTTGACAGAAGCCTGTCCATTAAGGACCATGAGGAGAGAGCTGTAACAAGATGCCAAAAAGGACTTAGTACACTTAAGACTATGCCTGCGATTGACATAGAGCAGAGAATGCTTTTCACACTATATCAGCACCTGATCCTGTCAGTGGTGGATTATGGCCTGGGACTGATTACCGTCTCAAAGAGTCAGATGGACAAACTAGAGCGCATACAGAACGCAGCTAGGCGGGTCATTCTGGGTTGCACCAGAGACAACCCAGTGGCGTGTATGCGATACATCCTTGGTTTGCCGACGGTTGCAGGTAGGCACAAGGTGCTGCAGGTGAAGTCATATCATTACCATATAGCGAGTTTTTACTGTATCAAAATGATTTCATCTTTTTGCATAACACTCGCATATCATTTATGAGTGTAATAAGTCTCACGATGATTTACTGATTTGAGAATCGACATCATAGCACACCGGGCATACCCATAGGCCACCTCATCCCATTGAAATAATAGCCACAAAAACCAACCAACTATGCAAAACTGCAAAGAAATAAAGGTTGACAAACACACACAAAAAAGAAGACATAGAAGGGAACTAGAGAGTGACGTTAAAAAGATGGGGATGACATGTGGTGAGCTGCAATAGCAAAGGATAGAACCACTTGGCATGAGTTGGCTGAAGGTCTCCCGCAGCTAATGACTTCAGGTGTAGATGCTAACTTTTCCCGTAGCACACTGATTATACACTCGTTGTTCTCCTCCTCTCATCTGTCCCTCCTTGTCCGATTCACATCCAGTCCTCGTGGTGAATAAAAAGAAAATGCATCTGATATTATTCTTTCGGCCTTTGAAAAGAAATGTCCTGATTTGATATGCACACATATATTGTTTAGATGTAGATTATTTTAAAAACATGAATAAGGTTTCTTCTACATTATAATATTTATGTATATATGTCATAAACGCGTCCTCCAGTAACTATGCATCAATATTTTATGTTCACTTCCTGCCTTTTAAACATATTTATGTGTACATACTGTTGTGTAGCTATTTATGGTTTATTGCTTTCCAAACATATCCTTGTTGGCCACACAAAGCTGTGGTTTGATCCACCCCTGGTGTCTCAAATCCTTGTTGGCCATACAAAGCTGTGGTTTGATCCACCCCTGGTGTCTCAAATCCTTGTTGGCCACACAAAGCAGTGGTTTGATCCACCCCTGGTGTCTCAAATCCTTGTTGGCCACACAAAGCTGTGGTTTGATCCACCCCTGGTGTCCCAAATGTCACTTCTTAGGAGATGGAACCAGGTATGTAGGATTTGCCCTGTTGGCTTGCCATCCAGAATGGGATTTTGTGACCTCAGGGAGGACAGAACTTCTGGTAGCAGCCCAGAGGGGATAAAATGACTGAAGAATTACTCTGAAAAATCAAGCTTTCTTAAAATATCATCATTAACTCCTTACCTGCATTGCACCGCAGGTATACCAGACTTGTGTGGCTGTTATGGGTACCCTAATTATAACTTTTTGGAGGTTGAATAGGTTATCTTGGATTGGCCCTGTTGGTCTGTCATCCAGATTTAGAGTTTGTAATTTCAAGTAGTCATCCCCTGAGGGGAAAATTGGATGGACAGACTGACCCTTGTAATCTCCCCCCCCCCCCCCCCCCCTGCCCCCCCCCCCCCCCCCCCAATAACTATTGGATGCTATATTTATAACCATCTTCAGAGGTTGAACTGAATGTCCTACTGGATTAACATCCAGCTTGCTTTTGTGTCAAACCTTCAGATGGTAGCTTGAAAAAGGGGAGGTGGGAGGACAGTCAGCTGGTCAAATAATATTTAAAACAAAAAACAATTGAATGATAGACAAATATTTGTAGAAAGCTTACAGCATTTTGGGAACCATTTTCACCATCTGTCAATTCATGTATCATGGGTGCATTCCCCCTGAAATTAGGGTTAAAATATATTTGTTCAGTATGGCTGGGGGTTGATGTGATCTCATTGTTTTGAATTTCAGCCATGCTCAATTACACCCTCCTGGCAGACAATGAAATGATTACCAGAAATCTTTGCAAGTTGCAGTTAATAATCTCTGGCCGTCTGCAAGCTACATGTGCAAATAATTTCTACAATATAGGCCTAACACTACATTCCTTTTGATGCCTTGGTGGCAATGTAAATGGCCTTAACTTTATTGCCTACTTTATATTTGTTTCCTTTGTGGACCATTTTTATAGGTTTAATTAATTTGTTTCTTATGTTGAACTATTTCAAGACAAAAATAGATACCCAAAAATACATATAAAAAAATTAATAATGCAGTAGTAAATGTTTTTTTTTTCTTTCTCAGAAACATACTTTTATTTATGTTTGTTTTCTTTCAATATTTGGACTGGTTTTCCCCCCTGAAGTTTATGAAGCTTCTTGCTGCTCTGATGAATGCAGTATTTTATATGATCATCTGTTGTCTTGAAGTAAATATTTGTGCAAGCTCATGTGTGTTATGTTTTGTTTTTTTTGCAGATGTTTCTAATCTCTACCTCTTTGTGTGAAAGCATGTATAGACAGTAACTTAACAGAATAGTATCAGGCTGCCTGACTGTTTACATTGTTAACCTGCTTCTTGTATTAGTCATAACATTTATTGTATTTGTGACACATTTTGTAACCACATTTATTTCTTTTCAAATGCCTGAACAAAGAAGCATATGATGCAGTCACTACACAAATTCATTGTATATGGTGGCAGCGCACAAGCAAATAATTCTGTCTTCTTTTATCCTTTAACCCTTTTACTCTGGTCTCCTAAAAAAAAAAAAACATTGCCAGCGTGCAGGGAGTCAATTATTGTAGGAATCCATGAAAAAAAAAGCATTTAAAAAAAATATTTATATTGTCACAAAAAATGTAGCACAAAAAACACACACATAATTTAGGGCCAATAAACCAACAACTAATATACGAAGGGTGCATAGTAATCAATGGAAATGAATGCAGATAATTAAAAATCATAGTATGTCACTTATTTGACCCTGTGACCCATCACCTCTAACCCTATTAATTCTATGACTAATAAGGACAATATGATATTAGAAATTACCTTTTAAAAGCCATTTGTTTACAAGGAAACCCCCTAAATTCTTTTTATAGTAAATATAAATACCACGTTTGTGTATGCAAAAAATGATGTCAGTGCTGATAGCTATGCATAATATACACAAGCCCTAAAACAATGGTTGTCAACCATCCTAATGCTGTGACCCTCATGTTGTGGCGACCCTTTAATACAGTTCGTCATGTTATGGTGACCCTTTAATACAGTTCCCCATGTTGTAGTGACCCTTTAATACAGTTCCCCATGTTGTGGTGACCCTTTAATAGAGTTCCTCATGTTGTGGCAACCCTTTAATACAGTTCCTCATGTTGTGGTGACCTTTTAATACAGTTCCCCATGTTGTGGCGACCCTTTAATACAGTTCCTCATGTTGTGGTGACCCTTTAATACAGTTCCTCATGTTGTGGCGACCCTTTAATACAGTTCCTCATGTTGTGGTGACCCTTTGATACAGTTCCTCATGTTGTGGTGACCCTTTAATACAGTTCCTCATGTTGTGGCGACCCTTTAATACAGTTCCTCATGTTGTGGTGACCCTTTAATACAGTTCCTCATGTTGTGGTGAACCTTTAATACAGTTCCTCATGTTGTGGTGACCCTTTAATACAGTTCCTCATGTTGTGGTGAACCTTTAATACAGTTCCTCATGTTGTGGTGAACCTTTAATACAGTTCCTCATGTTGTAGTGACCCTTTAATACAGTTCCTCATGTTGTGGTGAACCTTTAATACAGTTCCTCATGTTGTGGTGACCCTTTAATACAGTTCCTCATGTTGTGGTGAACCTTTAATACAGTTCCTCATGTTGTGGTGACCCTTTAATACAGTTCCTCATGTTGTGGTGACCCTTTAATACAGTTCCTCATGTTGTGGTGACCCTTTAATACAGTTCCTCATGTTGTGGTGAACCTTTAATATAGTTCCTCATGTTGTGGTGAACCTTTAAACAGTTCCTCATGTTGTGGTGAACCTTTAATACAGTTCCTCATGTTGTGGTGAACCTTTAATACAGTTCCTCATGTTGTGGTGAACCTTTAATACAGTTCCTCATGTTGTGGTGAACCTTTAAACAGTTCCTCATGTTGTGGCGACCCTTTAATACAGTTCCTCATGTTGTGGTGAACCTTTAAACAGTTCCTCGTGTTTTGGTGAACCTTTAATACAGTTCCTCATGTTGTGGCGACCCTTTAATACAGTTCCTCATGTTGTGGTGAATCTTTAAACAGTTCCTCGTGGTGAACCTTTAATACAGTTCCTCATGTTGTGGTGACCCCCAGCCATACAATTATTTTCATTGCTACTTCATAACTTCAGTGAATACATGTTTTCTGATGGTCTTAGATGACCCCTATGAAAGGGTTGCGACCCACAGGTTGAGAACCGCTGGTCTAGGCCATAATGATCCACTTGTGCCTCCGCACTGTGCATTTGCTCTGAAGGGTCTTGACTGCATCAAGCTTGAGATTATTCCCCTAAGAGTTGCGAAAAAAATTTTAAAAATTTCTTGAGGCCTCAAGGTTGTGGTTTTACAGACTCCTAAGAAAGAATTCCTTGGACAACCAAAAAGATTAGCAGTTGTGGCGACCCTTTAATACAGTTCCTCAAGCCATAGTTATTTTCGTTGCTACTTCAGAACTTCAATCAGTATGTGTTTTCCGATGGTCTGTGAGACCCTTGTGAAAGGGTCGTTCAACCCACAAAAGGATCGCAACCCACAGGTTAAGAGCTGCTGCAATAGAGCAAGTCACTAAAGTGGCTGTTCTGGGAAATTGGACACAACCAGAATGTCAATTTTGCAGCTTCTGTAGGCGACTCAGTTAAGAATATTACTGAACATTTTGTTATTCCCTGGACTTGGAATATAATATAAACTATATTGTAGTAAAGTAAAATGTGGTTTCTACAATACTGCCCAGGCTTTGTGTTATGGAGAGGAGGAAATTCATCTATGACTCTGTGGGGTGTGGTTCACTTGCCTCCATAGCTGTCCCATAAGTGTCCATACATAGGAAGAAAACACAAGTAACAATGTAAACACCAGCACAGACATAACTCCATCTGTGCTTATATGTATTCTTCAGCAGGGAAGGAAAGACACGCATTGACATTTGTTTACAAAACAATGGTAGTCTTGAAGACCATATTATATAAATAAAAAGTGTTTTCATTAGAAAAAAAGTTTTTTTTTCAAGTTTGGAAACATATATACACACCCTGTAACAATGGAACACTATCATTTGAAAGATGGAAAGGTGGCAACCAGTCAGTAGAGTAAAAGATTTTTTTTTTAAATCTTCTTTTTCTTTTCTTCTTCAGCGTTCCCTTCCCTTGAGGAATCCATTCATCTTTCTGGTTGGCCTTCTCTTTCCAGTTGGTAACACTAAGTGTTTGCAGGTCTGTCTGGACGTTATCTCTCCATCGCCTTCTTGGTCTGCCTTTTAGTCTACAACCATTCAGCTCCCATGTGTGTACAGTTTTTACTTCTTTGTCATCTGACATTTTTTCAATGTGCCCCAGCCATTTTTTAGTCTATTAGATCTCTGTTTTCGAAAACCTGTAATAAGGCTTCATCTCATTTAGTTGTGCTCCAAGTTTTAGAGCCATGTAAAACAATTGGTCTTATCAACATTTTATATATTTTGATCATGGTGTTGCCAGACAGGTACTTTGACTTTAGCAGATGTTGAAGGGCATAGTATTCTTTATTTCCAGATTGTATTCTATATTGTATTTCTTCTCTCAGCAAGTTGGAGCAGTTGAAGTTTGCACCCAAATACTCAATGTTTCCATTTGTTTGATTTTCATATTATTGATTCATATGTGGCTGGAGTTTGTGTCATTTCCCTCTCTTGTTATTGTCGCGTATTCTGTCATATCTTGATTGATAACTAGTCCCATTTTGTGAGCTGCTTCTTTAAAGAGAGTCAGTGATTTTACCATCTGTAGTTCATTTTCTCCAATGATATCAATGTCATCTGCATAAACAGGTATTCTTGTAATTTCTCCTGAAGTACACTCTTGTTTCAGTTTGCTTATAATTTTCTCCAAGGCCAAGTTTTTTTATGCCATTCTAAATATAATGCTAAGTCCACATATGGTATATACCAGTCGGCCCTCGTTAAATTATATGGTCAATATCATGTCAGCAGCCTATTCTTTTCATGAAACTTCCTTGTGCCCATTATAGGAAAGGCCTTAGGTCAGCTTCTAAAATTTGTAGATATAGAATTCCACCGGAGACCTCTGGACCGATAGTCACTGAACTACCACAGCTACAGAATTCAACCC